TTTGGTTTCTAGAAATTGAACATGCATCTCCATACCTGCTGTAAGGTTTTTCCACAAAACAAACAAACAAACAAACCAAAAAACAGTCAGTGAAGACTGGAATAAGTAACTCTTCAAATGTATATTCATTAGTGTACTACTATTAGGATCAAGAACAATCAGAAGAACAGCACATAACCAAATGGACAAAACAAATGCCAGTGACTGATCATAAAGAAAAAGAGACATAAGAAATGTTTGAAAAAGATTCAAAATAGCTGTTTTAAAGAAGCAAAGCAATCTTCAATAAGATACAGAGAAAAAAATTATAAATGCGGAAAGTGGTAAGTAAGCAGAAAGAGAAATTGAAAAAATATTTTAATAACGATCAGTCCTAATAATAATAAATCCAACTTTCAACCTGGAAAAATATAATGAATGAAATAAAAGGTTTAGTAGAGGACACCAACAGAATTGATCAAGCAAAAGAATCTGTAAAGGATGTTACTATCTCCCAGAAAATACTAAGAAACTAATACAGTTCAGCCATTTTACATTTTCCACACTGTAACAGGAAACATTTTCCATAATTCAATAGCATGGTCCTTATTTCTGTCTCTTATCTCCCCAGAATTGCCTTTACTGTCCATATTTCTCCCAACATTCTGTTCATGACTATTTTAGCATTATCTAATGCGCTATTAGCTTGCTCATTCATTCTCTTTTCTTTCTGAGCTCTCTACAGAGCCACTCTTAGCATCTATATTTCTACTGCACACTTCAACAATTTTTCTGCTTGTACTTATTACTCATTTCCAAAGGTGCTTTCATATTTTTAGATATTTGTAATAGTGGTACCCAAATTCTTGCTACTACTTGCTCATATTCTACTCAAGCTGCTATAATTTGACTATGTGACTTAAGTAGCAGACAGTTACTCATAAACTGTTCTAGTAGCTGAAAGAACCATGATTAAGGGACTGACAAGTTTTGGTCCTTCTTATGCTTTATTGAGAGTCACTTTCTAGCTGTTTCCCTACAATGGATAGAAAAAGAGAGACAGAGTCAAAGAAAGACACACACACGGAAAAATAGCACATAACCAAACGGACAAAATAAGTGCCAGGGACTGGTCATAAAGAAATAGAGATGTAAGAAATGTCTGAAAACAAATTCAAAGTAGCTGTTTTAAAGACGCAAAGCAAACTTCAGGACAACATATAGAAAAATAGAGAGCACGCTGATTTTTTGTCTAGTTGTTGAAAGGACATGAGCCCTATCATGAGAATCTCATCCTTGGAACCTCATGTAAATCTAATTACTCTGCAAAAGCTCTACCAGCAAAAACCATCACGCTGAGAATTAGAACATCAACATATACATTTGGGGGAAGGGGCACGAACATTCAGTCCATAGCAGAAGGGAATAAATCAGAAAAAGAAAAAAATTATTCTACCATATAAAGCTGTAAAAAAAATATAAACTAATCCATAGCAACGAAAGTAGGTTTGAGGTTAAAGTCAGAAGACAGAGTTGGGGTAGAAAGATTACAAAATGCATGAGGATACTTGGAGTGGGTAGGAGATACGTTTACTGCAATGATTGCAACGATGTTTCACAGATGACTATACGTTAGAACTTAACAAATTGTACACTAAATATGATCAGAGCCATTGCATTTAAATTACAGTGGTACTTCAGTTCATGAACTTAACTTGTTCTATGATTTTGGAAAAGATGGCTATGCTTGTGTTTGTGCAGGAAAGATGGCTATACTCCTGTGGAGCACCCTGTATAGAGTTTGCAGACAAAAACAACATTTTGCCAAATGCTTTTGTTTGTGAACTAAATTGTTTGCAAACAAGTGTTTGTGAGTCAAATCACTACTGTATATCTCAATTAACATTTTAAAAATTAATATTTTATTGTACATTCTTCAAGATAATCTCTATATTATTTGTTGTTTATTTATTAAAACCTATAATGAACAGGAGATTTTAGGGTTTTTTAAATATACATTTATCTCAAATTTTTATTTTGTGTCTTCATTTCCTTTTTTGCAATTAGATTTTATTGGCACATTTTAAGTATATATAATGATCATATTCATCACAGAGAATTTGTGCCTCTACATAACATAACTTGGATTTTTTTCTCCCATTCCCCCACCCTTCCTTCTATTTCTCATCCCCTCCCCATTTGAACATTTTCTTCCTATTTCACAATACCTATTATACATTTTAGTCCTTATTGACACTTTTGGCTTCTCACATCAGAGAAATGAGGTATTTACAGGTGTGTGTCCAATTTATTTAACTTGAGTATGGTCTCAAGGTGCATCCATTTACCTAGAAATGTCTCAAGTTTATCCTTTTTTATGGCAGAGTAGCATTCCATTGTGTAAAAAAACACATCTTCTTTATACATTCACCAGTTGATGTGCATTTGGGCTGTTTCCAAGATGTGGCTATTAAAACTGTGCTGCTATAAACACGAGTATGCATATATTGCTGTGGTATGATGCTTTTAATTCTTTCAGGAAGATACCAAGAAGAGGAATAGCTGCACTGAATGGAACCTTTAGTCCTAGTTTTTTGAGTAATCTCCACACTGATTTCTAGTCTACACACCCACCAACGTGGAGAAAGGTTCCTTTTTCCCCCACATCCCCACCAGTATTTGATATTGGTGAATTTCTTAATAGCCATTCTTTCCAGGGTGAGATAGAATCTTAGCATTGTTGTAATTTGCATTTTGCAAATGACAAATGATGTGGAACTTTTTTATATATTTATTTGCCATTTCCATTTCTTTATCTGATAAGTGTGCATTCATCTCAGATACCCATTTTTTAAATTTGGGAGGGTCTAACTTTTTTTTTTTTAGTTCTTTATATATTCTAGATAGTAGTCCTTTAAGGAACAGCTGGCAAAAGTTCTTTCCCACTTTGTGGGTTATCTCTTTACTCTTTTGGTGGTTTCTCTCCCTGTGCAAAAGCTTTTTAATAAGATGAGATCTCAGTTGCTGATTCTTTGTTATAGTTCCTGTGTGATAGGAATTTTTTCATAAAATCTTTGCCTACACCAACATCTTTGAGAGATCTACCTATTCTATTTTCCAGCAGATTTAACGTTTCTGTTTTAATATTTAGATCTTTGATCCATTTCTATTTTAGTTTAGCACATCATGAAAGATATAGGCCTGGTTTGTCAGTTTTATTTAATCTTTCAAAGAATGAACTCTTCAATTTATTGAGATTCTGTCCTCACATTGGCTTATCCTGCTGAATATACTTTCAATGAAATTTTTAATTTCCTGGACATCTTCTTGAATCTGTTTTATGGATTCCATTTCTTTCCTAAATTGGGCATTCATGGTTTCCATCATTTTCCTAAGCTTCTCTATTGTTTTAAATGTATCAGTCACTAAGCATGTTTTTCACTGTGGTCACCAACTCTGTAGTTATCTGAGAAATTATTTCTGATTTGATTTTTTTCTAGAGCCTCATTCTCTTCAGAGAGGCCGGGTGGGTGGCTTTCAGATTGTTCCACTTCATTGCCCCCTGGATTTCCCTTTGGTGAACTGGATGTCTGGGGTTACATCTTGTTTAATTGCCTTTCTATTTTCTAATTTTTAAAAAATTTTAATTCCTAAGTTGATGCTTATGAATTTCCTGTGGTGAGTAGCTTTAGTGGTAGTAACTAGAACCCTTAGGAAATGACTACTTCTCAGAGGTGTCATCCAGGTGTAGCTGGCCTTGGGTTTTGAGTCCTTTGCAAGATCACTTCTTAAATTTATTGGAAATGAGAATTTGCTGCCTACTTGGCTCAGCCCCTGGTTCTTTGGCATTGGCCACAGTATTTTCTATGACCCTTAGGCAATCTCAGTCTTGGTATACCAGGAATAATAGCTAGTTAGAACAATTATGTCACTTTGGCTAACGCAGTACCATCAGCAATAACTGTAGCATCAAACACAGCCTAGAAAATGACAAATGGAGGTAACCATTAATTTGCCAACTTTAACCCTATGCACTAGATTTGTGCTTATATAACAAAGTCTAAAACAAACCAGAATTATTTTTGGTTTTTTGAGAGACAGGGTCTCACTATGCAGTTTAGGCTGACCTTGATCTATGTAGCCCAGGCTGGGGTCGAACTCATGGCAATCCTCCTGCCTCAGCCTCCCAAGTGCTGGGATTATAAACATGCACCACCACACCCGGCTTCAAACCAGAAAATTTTATGGAGCAAATAAGCCCTCAATATGCAGATTTTACCCTCAGGGGAGAAGCGTAACAGAGGTTAGGGGGAAAAATAGAGAAACAGAAGAGGGAAGGATTAGAAGCAAGGTTGGACAAAGGAGGATCATGAAAGCTTTGGAAAACTGGTGCAGATGACTGGAGGGAAAGAAAGAAAGAAGAAATAAAAGGAAGAAGAGAACAGAATCACAACCACATTGTTAAGATATTCACACATATAAAAACAAGATCAAATGATGAAGAAAAATAAACAAGAAAAGAAAAACAAAAAATGTCCACTTCAGTGTTTATCTCTGTTGTCACTGGTAGACAACATGTAGAGACAGAGTTCAGACCCATATTGATTTATCCCAGCAAGCCAGTAATAGCTTCACAGTGGAGCAGTGGATAAACTCATTGAGGCTGCACCTTTACTGCTCTGATGTTCAGGCTGGTTCCTGGCCATGAGGCTAGAATCAGACCTGTTCAGCCTGCAGCAGTCAGTGCCTTTTCTTTGGGTTTGAACTCAGCTGGGAGCCACTAGATGGAGCCAGCAGTTGTTCTGAGCTCAGTTGGCCCCTCCTCAAGATGGGTCCCAGATAACTGTCCTCTCCCACAGGATGACAGAATCTGCACTGCTCACCAACTAGTGCAGTCTATGGTGTCCTCTGCTCTCTCTGTGGAGCCCTGTGAGGTTACAAGCAGTTACTGTGTGTCCACAGGGTTGAATTATTCCTCTCAGGCAGTAAGTCCTAATCAAGAAGAATGTGCAGCCCATTACCTCTTTGTGGAAGTTTCTCTATTTGCTCTCTTTGTGGGCTTCAACTCTTGCTCCAGATCCTTCCTGGTCCAGGGGACCCACTTCCCTGATTCTCTTCTTGGAGTTGCGATATTCAAGTGTCTGGACACCAAATCTCGGAAAGGCTCTTTTTCTGCTGCATACCACTTCACCATCTTCCCAGAAGTCCCTACAGTCCCTTGGGGGCTTGGGAACTTCTCCTCAAGGAGTCCTGTCAGACAACAGAAAAAAGTGATGCCTTCTGAAGGGAGCTCCAATGCCCATGACCTGAGTGCCCCATCAACCATGAGCCTCAGGCTACAGCCAGGCTGTATCCCAATGGAAACACCACCAAGTGCCAGTTTGAACCGCTTTTCCATTTCCTTAAGTATACTTTATATAATTATTGAACATTTTGAAGTTTAGTTTATATCCAGAAAAAAAGCAAGTATCACCTCCATCAAGAAATAATATGAGAACACTGGGTGCTCTCCTCCTAACTCCTCCCAATAAAAACCTTGTTTCTATTCCAAAGGTAAACATTGCCTTGTAGAAGTGTTTGTCTTATTAAACTTTTAACTTCACATAAATTGAATCTAGCAGTAGTATCTTTTGTATCTGGCTTTTTAATGCAATATTAAATTTGTGAGATCTATTCATGTTACTGCATGTAACAGTAGTTCATGCATATACATTGCATGATAGCATTTAATCATGTGATTATGCCATAATTTAAATATCCATCATAAATAATTTGATTATTTGGAGGATGGAATTCTTAGAAAAAAATCTTGCTAGGAATATTCTTGTGGTTTTTAATAAAGACACATTGTGATAATTATTGGATCATATGTACATCCATCACTCCCCAAATTTCCTCCATTCTTTGCTTCTGTCATTTTAGGAATCTATTTATCTGTTCTGGGAGTCTATGTAAATAACACACTTTTTTGTTCATAACTTTTTTGCTCAGAGATTCAGCTATGTAGTTGTTTATATAGGTAGTTTAAAAATTTTAACTGCTGGAGAATGTTTTATTGTTTGAATATACAAAAAAATTCCATTTATCTCTTGATGGACACCTGAGCTTTTTCAGGTTTGTGTTAGTGTGACTAAAACTACTGTAAATATGCATATGTGGCTGTGTGTGTGTGCAAATATAAATTTATCTCCCTTGCTAGCTGCATGGTCATTTGGTAATTTTACTATGTGTAACTTTACAAGAGACTTCCACATTCTTAACCAAAGTAAGTATACAAGTTTATCTTCATACTAGCAATGTATTATAATCACATGACTCTACCTACTTGGCAACACATGATACTGTCTTTTCATCATTCTAGTGCTCCTTGAGTAGTGTATTATTCTGTGCTGAATTCTTTTCCTACTCATTCAAACATCACCAGCTTATGAATAAAACAATATGTACAATAATTGAATTGAATTCAGTATTTTGCTTTTAGTCCAGTAACATTTTTATATTTTTTAACTTTTGATTAAACATAAATTAGTGTAGTCGGACAGAATATATTTGATCTAAATGTAGTTGGACAGAATATATTTGATCTAAATGTATTTTATTCTATATATTACTTTCAAAAGTTTAGGGTACATTGACTTTTTTTTTTTTTTTTAGGTCTTAAAGAGTGTTAGAAGACCTGTCTGTCAAGCAGAAAATCAACTGTTAAATATTCTGAAAAATACAATAATGATTTTTCATTGTTATTATTATATGTAATTATCCTGATAATCTCATAAAATAATTTTTTTGCTCACAAAAACTTTTGGAGAGAGAAGTCTCAGCTTGAGGTCACCACTAAAAGCCCATAGCCAAGAAAAAAATTGTTTCCTTCTTCACCTCCAAACCTCAGTTCTTTTTTGTCTTCTTCCTGTTTTTTAGGGACTTCACCCTCGAAGTTGTCTACATGTGCAAGAGGATAAGTGTACTTACTAAAATGATTTTGACTCAACTCTGTTTGTGGAAAACAGTGCCTAGAGGTTGATGGGTTTGTCTTGGTATTCAATCTTTTTCTCTATAGGATTTTGTTACTTAAGTGTCTTGGTTACTTTTCTCTCGTTGCTGGGAGAAAACACCTGATGCCCAAAATTAAGGAATGAAAGGTTTATTTCACTTACAGTTTGTGGAGGTTTCAGTCTGTACTTGGCAGATTACAAGGCAGAGTGGCACATGGTAGAGGGCTACACCTCCTCGCGGCAGAACACAGCAAAGCAACAAAAACACACAAGGGAGGAAATGACCAGAAGCACCCTCTTCCTCTCCCTTACATATGTAAACTATCCACCCCAGGGTGGGTGTAGTTCTCACACCCATAATCAATCAAACTCTAAAAGCCTGCCCCGTGGCCGCATGAGGCTTTGGGGGGACACCCAGACACAAACCATAACATTAAGCAAAGCAAAAATGTGGGAGATTTTACTGTACTTTTCAACCATGCTCAACAGTCTTCCATGTCAAAGCAGAACTCAGCACATAGAATAGGAAGAATCAGTACTGTTGGGCTTTTTGAGTTGAAAAGACATGGTGCGATACCATGTGATTGTCCAAACGTTCGTTAAGTTTCTCCTTCCTCCCTGTAGTTTCTCTCTGCACAGAAGCCAAATTTGTGTTCCACATCCAGAATTCACAAATGCTTCAAGGAAGAAAATACCTGAAAATAACTTCTAGGAAGTACTCTTCCCTCACTTAAAATGTCTTTCAATCTATCTTTAAAAAAATAGCAATGAACAAGGTAGCATTCACTGACCTACCAGGTCCTACAGGAAAGTACAAGTTCTGTCCCATGCTCTCATCTCTAAAGTTGAGTGTTACGGTTAAAGAGCCTTGTAGTTGGGGATTTACTGAGGTTTTCTATGTGGCCTGATATAATCTACTCTTTAAGTATTCTTTACCTGTTAGGAAAGAATGCATATTCTGTGTGTCAAATGTGAAGTTTTATACACGTTTCTGGTTTAAACTCATTTACTATGACATGTTTAAGTTTTAATTAGCTTATTTTTTCTTGATTTTTAAAAAGAGGGTGTCATTAAAATGATCAAATATTTATCTATTTCCCTATATATTACTTTTAGGTTGTATCGCTAGGTGGCATATATATTCATGGTGGACAGAAATTTTGTTCTATTACTTCAACAGTATATATCATACATTTCCCCTTACCCCTTTTCTTTTGGTCTTACATTCTGTCACAAAGTTGTGACAGCCTGCTTTTGGTTGACATTTTGTTGGTACACTTTGTGGTTATATTTTTAAACTTTTTTTCTATGTTGTTTTCAAATGTTTGATATATTATAGGCCTTGTATTTATAATTAACTTACATCATTTCAATATAATTGGTTCCAAATTACCATGTTATGTATATCCTACTTATAGTCATTGCAATTACTGCTATATTAACCATGAGGTCTAACGTATTCTGTAACATTGAATTCTTAATTGTTTCTCATTACTATAGTCTATATTGTGTAAGTTTTCTCTTGGTTTAGAAGTTACACATTCTTTGTGCATTTTTGTGGTATTTTTCACCTAAGCCTCATAATCATGTTTACTCTACTTATTTATTTCTGAGACACGGCTTGCTCACTGTGTAGCTCAGGCCCAGCCTCAAACTCAAGAGATCCTATTTCCTCAGCCTCCAAAGGGCTGGGATTACAGGCATGCACCATCGTACCTGTCAATGTTTTGAGTAAGCCATTAGCAAACTTTCATGTCTTTTTGGTCTTTATCTCCCTTAATCTCTTCCCTTGCTTCAAGTTGTATCTCCTTTTTCTTTCTTAAGTAGAGTAAAATTGTTATTTATTGGCTGTGGGTTTGGAAGAGAGGTGGAAGGAGGAAAATAACTGTGTATACGATATTCAGTAGATTATTGGATTCAGGGTTTTAGAGCATGGAGAAGGTCTTGGATAAAGCTTTGGGATATGTAAAGCTATAACCACTACTCTAAGGAGAAAAGGTGGATGAAAAAACATTGGTATTTAGGTGATAGGCAGAGAAAAAGCCTCAGATGTCTTCCATTGAAGGAAATGATCCTTCCAAAGATTCAATAAGGGAAACGGTAAAAAAACAAACAAAACCCCGAAAAACAAAACCTCATATTAAGACATGGAGGGAAGAGAAAGGATGATGAAAAAGGGAATTAAGATGTGTCATGCACATGTGCCAAATCCACACATGGAATATAAATATTATGTACTGCAAACAAGTATAAAAAGGAAAAAAAGGAAAGAAATCAAGAGATGGATGGAGCAGTTAGGAAGGGAAAGAGGTTAAAAAAACCTAAAATGTATTACATGTACTACAATCATGTACTAATGAATGATCTAGAAAAAAGACCTCACATTAAAAATGCAACTTCTCCCTCTTTCCTCAGAGGAATTGATTTTACAGATTTCTATTGGACCTAGGTTTGACTGCTTACAATTTGATTACTTTAATTCAAATCTCAAAGCTGTCACTTGGCTTACGAGGGACCATCAAAAACAAGATACTGGTCAGAAATGGGTTTGTGGTAGTTAGAAAACTTTTTGAGGTCTCCCTTATTCTTTAGACATAAAGAATTGTAGAAAAACTGTCTTATCATTGACATGTCTCCCATTCTCCTGCCTGAAACTTTACAAAGTAAGCGGTTCACCTGAACTAACCTTTCAGCTGGCTAACAAGGTCTACCTTTCCTTTATAGTTTAGCATGGATTAATTTATTTAATCAGTCCACTTCCTCATTATCAGAAGCCAAAGCCATGGACAAGAGAGAAGCAATGAAGACGACTGAGCTCTCAACAACGGAATCTTTATGAAAGGGCCACAGAGGATAATTTATGAGGTCTAGTTTATTCAAAGCAGAAACATGCTTTCAGACTGTTATACAACACAAATGCTACTCAATGGAAAAATATGCTACCACTGACAGTCTCGGAAGTGTTGATGACAAAAATGAATTCTTCAGGTCAATCTACCTGCGATCGAGTCTTAAACTTTTAACATTTTTACCTTATGCCACCTGGTTGCTAGTTCTTGTTTGTTCACTTTAACCCCACCAAATATAATTATAAGCTAAACACAGGCATCAATATTGGATTTCCAATCATTTGCTACCCTATCACTGAAATTTTCTGTCAGCACATATATAAAATCATATGCATCAAATGCAAGGTTTTAAGCTTTTTGTTCATATTAGTTAACACTATTTGCAATTTTCCAAGAGCTATTTTTGGTGGATTAACTAATGGTAAACTTGTAACACCCAGCTGAACTTAATCAGCGTGGTACTGGGTGTGGGAGGCCCACCTAAGGTCTGCTGCCAACAGAGTAAAAGGAAAACTGGAAGGGAAGGAGTCGTGCTATTGACTCTCTAGAAGCTTGTCATGCTGACTTTCCTGACAGGAACTCAGCTCTTATCATAGGAGCTCGGATGGATTTGGTTCTTCCTTTTGAGTGTCGCACTCTGGCTCCAGTGCACATCCCTCAGCCTGCCCGAACAGATCCTTCATCCTGCTGCCACAGACTTTCTAGCTTCTACCACTGACCTTTCGGCATTCCCAGTGCACAGCCTTAATAACAGACTTGCGTGAGACATTGTCCTAGGCTCCAGGCCTCCAGTTGGACTGGTGGATACTATTGCCATGGGCTCTAGGTCTTCAGCTGGACTCATATAGGACATTGCCATGGGATCCAGACCTTCAGCTGGCTTCTGTGGTTCTCTAGTGTATGGACATATCTGCACTCTTTTGCATTTAACTGGGTGAATATGGTAAAATAATCCTATAAATTACATGTCCTGCATTAAATCTATTCCCGTTAGCCCTGACTACAAGATGGCTCAAAGCAAACTATTTTTTTTTTCTTTTTCTTTTTTTTTTTTTGGCGGTACCGGGGATCGAACTCAGGACCTTGTGCTTGCCAGGCAGGTGCTTGTGCTGCTGAGCTATATCCCCAGCCTTACAAAGCAAATTGTTAACACACAGTATATAAATATATCTAGTACATGAATTCTCTTTGTAACTTTCCCAGGAATGTGCTCTCTCAACTTGTAGAGGAGGAAACCAAGGATATACAGGCTAGCCACTTTTCCCTAAGTTATACCAGGGACAGTATCAAAATTTGAACCCACGCAGATGCAGAACTTAAACGTATAAAATTCTGTATTTAACTGTTTCACTTAATTTAGTTTCTGTCACTCATAACTAAAAATGTATCACCACCAACTAATTTAATGTATGCCTTTCTCAGATCATAGTTAATAAATCACAGGCCATCTTTTTTATCCCTAAGGGCAGAAATGTCTATATATTATATATATGCTTTTAACATTAAAAGGCAAGTCAAAATTTTAAGAAATATCAATTTAATACTGAATATTTCCAAATATGGTACACACAGACACCACAGCAATATAAAATGCATACAATTTTTAAACAACTTTCTTATGAACTCAACACGGATGGCTAACAGCTTCCAACACATAAAATTTTGGACAAAGTTATCAGATATTTTGAGGGAGTTCATTTTGAATGCCATTTAAATCATGCAATTAGGAGGCTTTTAAAAAAATAAATCTGACAAATATATGAATTTCTGAAGTATAAATTGACATACAAATCTATATATTTTCTTAATATTTTTAATTAAAGCATCTTTAAAGAAGCGTTCTATAGTATGAAGTTGAGAGCGCAAATTAGATGAAAAGACATGAAATTTTATTAGATTCATGTACTTATCACATATTTACAGAATAGTAAACAAAATTGCAAAACAAAATTACATATTTAATTATTTTATTCTCCACATCAACTTGAGTACTACTTACTGGAATAATTTTAAATTCCCATTTCCAAATGTTCATAAGGAAACACACACAGGAGCAACTTGAGAAACTTCACTTTCCCTTCTGGGAAGTAGTGAAGGAAAAGAATGACACTGCTCCTTAGGGATTGTCAAAGCTTTGATAGAACTCCTGGGGAGCAGAGAATTTTGCAAAATTGTGAGAAATTAACTGCACCCATTTACCAGGACACAAACCTGTGACAGGGTTTCTTTGCCAAATTTAACAGATATCTACAACTCCCAAACCATGGCTTAGTGCATGGGCTTACCTGTCCCCATTATCTCTTCACAAAGGAAGCTCTAGAGGAAAAAAAGTCCATTACCTTTCCTTACCTGAACAATTTGAATAGAGTTATTTTGAATTCATAGATGAGAAACTGTAATCTTACACATAGGCAACTTAGAGATCTTCCTTCAAGGAATATTGGTTATCAGAATGTGCTCCTTCATGAAACTTAAACCATCAAAATTCAATTGGGTTATATTGCTAATTTAACAAATTAACGTAAGAGACATAGATTTTACTGAACTAATGGAGAGCAGCAGTCCTTAACACTAATAACAAATTAGAATCAGAAAGAAGTATAGGGAAGACTTTAAAGCCTGGCTCCATCTCCTAGAACTTCGTATTTAACTGGTGTGATGTCTATATTGAGACTTTGATTTGAATAATAATGACTTGGGATGGATCTGATTTAAATAAATTATTTAAAATTCAAAAATATATTTCCTATGTGATAGATACTAAGTGCTAGTAAGAATTTTCCATTAGAAATCATTGGATAACATTTATACCTTTTATCATGTGAATACACATAACAATTTATTAAAATGCAACTCAAACTTTTATTATAGTCTGATGTCATAAAAGATTTCCTATTACTTTCCTGACTTGTCCTTCACTTGAAACTGTACCCAATGAGATCACACACAAGAATCTTTTCCTCAGGATATATGGAGAAAATAAAAGAACATAATTTAAATTTTCAAGTCACAGTATATGAGGTATTCTCCACCTTATATACGCAGTCACAAAACCATAATCTAAGAAATGAAACTAGATTCTGATGTTTAACAGAATCTCTTGGGTCAGGAATTAAAACCCCTGGTATCAGTGCTTTCTTTAAATTGCCTTTAAAAAAAAGAGAAAGAAAGAAAAAGAAAAATCTATGCCATATCCTCTGGGAACTCAATAAACCTAGGTCTTTAAGGCAGACCATGTTTCTTATGACCTATTTATAAAACATTTCTTTAAAAAATCACAGGAATACAGTTTCTGAGACACATATAATTAGAAATGAGTTCTCTCAAAGGAACTAAAAAGTAGTTTTTGAAATACTGCATAATTAGGAATTACTACCCCAGAATGATAGCTTGAGCTTTCACATTTTAAACTAACTCAACTTTATTATTATAAAACTCATCTGAAATAGCTCTAACTCAATAAAAAAAATCACATTTAATAAATTTGATTTACATCTACTCTTAACCTAATGTATTTTCCAGATTTAAAATTGCCAAAACTGAATGACAAACTTATTAATCTGATATTAGGTTACTATTTTTATAACTGGAGAAAGGCCAAAACTGACATAATTTTTCTTAAACCATTAATATATATAGTACATATAGGCAAATGCACTAGCAATTAGTTTTCCATATTTTACAGAATTAAAACAGCTTTAAATTTTTATGAAAGTTCAGTAGTCAAAATAAATAGTATTTAATAAAAATATATACCACAAGAAGATATTAAGAATTTAGTGTTAAAAATAAACTGTCACATTGTTTTGCCTTCAGTTAAACAGAAGTGGCTTTAGTGGCTTAAGGTATCTAAGAATGATTAAGATATGACTTTGGACACAAAATTAAAATTAAAATCAGAGAGTCAACACTAAGATGAAAGAGAAGCTTAGTATTATTACTTAAAAGTTTAAAGTTACTGAGACTTCTAAATATATGACTACACCCCTACGGAACAACAATGTGGGAGTAAAAGTCAAAGAAAAGTCATGATTATATAGTTCATGTTGTGACACTTGATGTGAAAAAGAAAACTACACTATTCATGAGCACCATCAGGTATGTGTATATGCATGTATATATGTGTGTGTACACACCTTACCTTGTTAAAAACTGCATTTTGGAATTAAATTAAGGACAAATATGCAATTATGAAAATACATTCTTAAACTAACATGTTACATGATTCATTTTAAAACATTTACCCAGCATTCCTTCTATAAATCGAAGAACGTAACATAAAGAAGCCAGTATGCTTTTGTAGTGCAAAATCTCTTGGTTTAACAGAAGAATTGCTGAAGAGAAAGTGTCAGTAGGTGTTTTCAACCCATCACCAGGTTCCAAGAGGTAAGAGGAAAATGAAGTAGGTTAATAAATGAGAATTCACAGAATAAAACAGCATACGTTGGATTTCTCCTCCAGGGATCACCAGTCAGCCTCAAATTATTTTAGAGTAGTAAACATTATCCTGCCAAGAAATTCTTCCTTATGTAACAGAAGTCGCAAATTTGTCACCTGCAATTTAATATTTCTTCCATGTTCACCAAAATTAAAAACTTCTGCCATATCTTGTGTAATACATATCCTAGGGTAAGATAGGTCTTAAACGGAAAATCTTACTTTCATCCCATGTAGAGGCATCTCCTAAGAGTTACAGATCCGTATTTTTCAAAGCTCCCAGTACAAAAAAATCACATGACAAAGACTAAAGTCCTTTGATATCATTGTCACATGATAAAGAATAATGTTATTCTCCATTTAAAATACGTTCAATCTCTTCTAGTCTTTTTAAAGCAGCAACTCTTTTCTTCTCAATTTCTTTGATGTCTTTTGTTTTCGGAGGCGTCTCTTTGTGTGTATTTTCCTCTAACTGTTCGTTGGGTTTCGACTGACTTTGATCATCACTTGTTTTTGTTACCTGTGTTGGCCTAGACTCACTTCTGATTTCTTTTTCATTTTTAGTTGGAATTCTGTCTCCTCCTTCTCCACCTGTACTCTTACCAGCTGGGAGTCCTGGCTGTTCTACAAAACCCGATGAGGAGATTTTATCCCTGACTATACTCAAATGGCGCTGAATATATTCTTCATGTGGTGCTAATGCCAGTGTTTCAACCAGACATCTTTCTGCTTTTAGTAAGTCCTTCTCTTCAAAATAAACCACACAAAGATTGTGTTTCCCTTGCACGTTGGTTGGATCCATCTCTAAGATTTTTTCGAAACATTTTTTTGCTCCAAGTATATCTTTCTTTTGATTCATCAGAATGTCTCCTTTTAAAATGAGACCCTTGATATGATCAGGGTAGTATTTGAGTAACTCTTCTAAAATTGGCAGAGCCTTTAACTCCTTTGCAGTCTGAGAATAGAGGAGAGCCAGATTAAACAAAGCGCTCCTGAAGTCAGCTTGTAATTTAATGGCTTTTTTCATCCAAATCTCTGCCTCAGTGTCCTTTTTATCATCCATGGCAAGCATTCCCAAATTGAAATAACCATTAGCATCTAGTGGCTCTTCATTTACATAGTTCAAAAGTCGTTTTCTAGCTTCAGGTCTGAGTTTAACTTCACCTAAGGGTAATTTTTTTTTTGAAAGGAAGAATGTATTATCATTAAATGAATTAAGTTTGAGGAACAGAACCATTTTCAAGTGTTTAATTATATTACAAAAAGACAGCACCAAAGAAACTAATTTCTGTCTAAATAAGTAGAAAGCAAAAATCTATCTTCACTGGAAAGATAATGCGTTTAAGAACAGAAATGACAGATCACTTTTTTTCCTTTAAGTGCTAACAGTGCTTTTGAAACTAAAAGGGGAAAATCTCAATAGTTTATAATCTATCTAGGTAATAACACAGGAAGAATAGAGAATTAAGATGTAGAATTACACCTCCTCAAAGGTACTACACAATTTTGATTCTGTTATGATTTTATATACTCAACAAGTTATTTAACTTTTCTGGGTTAACTTACTCAATTTTCTAAGAATTACATGATATACAGCATATGTATGTAATAAATATTATACAGCAAGCTGTAATTGTATTTTTCTGGTATGTCAACTCCCAACTTTTTTTTTCTTTTTGTCTTTCTGAGACAGGGTCTTGCTATGCAGTTCAGGCTGGCCTTGAGCTCACTTTGTTGCTGAGGCTGGTCTTGACCTTGCAACAATTCACCTGCCTCAGCTTCCTGAGTGCTGGGATTACAGGTGTGTGCGCCAGCCACTATGCCCAACTTGTAACCTCAAACTTTTCTAGGAAGTTTCAAGGGAAAAATATACAATTAACTTCAAAACTATAAAATTAGGATTTGAGAAATACTGAGTTAATTTCTATTGCAAATAATTTTTTTCAAGTTCTGTAATTATATGCTTTAGGGTACAATCTGTATTGGAAAAAAAGTGATTTTCATGATTATTAGTTAGATATTAGGATTTTCTCTAAACATATATTTTTGAAAATAAGGCACAATGACCTCTCTGTGTTTTTTTTTGACTGACATAATGAGTAAGGAAAATTTAAAATAAATTAGTTAGCTTCAGCTTTTCTTTTGGATTAGCTACTAATGTAGTCATATGAAGTTAGGGTTGTGATTAGATATACTTGGACCTACTTTTCTGATCTACTAAACAAACTGATAAAGTAAATGCAAAGGTCTTTCTTAGCTCTAAAATACTGTAAGTTTTATGATTTGTTCATTTTTGCAAATATTCTAAAAAAAAGTATGTAGGAAATAATTAGAAGTTGCAAATAAGTCATAAAAAATACAAGTTATAATCATGAACTGCTGTCAGAGAACTAAAATTCCTACATAAAATATGTATCAAAGGTACAGATTTATTGAAATTAATGAATTAGTTTTGCTAAATTACAGCAAATTATAGTATTTCAGAAAATTTAGTAAAACTAGATGTAAAAAGACTTGCCCAAAGTATTTTCTCTCACATATCAAAGGAAAATGTAATGTTAAAAAAATAATCATTCTCTTGGTTCTTTAGAGCTAATTATGGAAACAATTTCACAAGTTCATACTATTTGGAGAGCATATTTAATATGAAAGGTTACATTTATATGCATAAGATGACATAATAAATAGGTGTTGCTTAATAGACTGCCTGAAAATTTAGTCTTAACACATACCAGCTGAATGAAAGGTTAGTACTCTCATATTTCGGTACATGTTATTTGAAAACAGTTTACTTCAAGTATTTTAAATATTCTTACTCTAAGTTCTTTATTTCTGTATTTATAAACTAGCCATCCATAAAATGTTTGCTATGGGAAACACAGTCTAAGTTAAGGTTTTACCATATACCACATTACATGTGATTAAACAAAAATATTCTGAGAAAACATACCTGATTCCTGCATTAATATAGCAGAATTAAATAATGCTAGCTTATGCCTTGGATTTAGTTCTAAAGCATGATTAAAGTTTTTTAGGGCTTCATTTGGCTCTTTAAGTTCAATATACACAATTGCCAAGTTGTACCAAAGATCTGCATTATTTCTGTCCAACTCTAGTGCTTTAAGATATGCTTCCTTTGCTTTGAGAGGTTTATTCATTTTTAAGAGCAATTCTCCCCTGTGGAAAAAGTCAAACATACACTATTAGAGTTAGTCTACAGACAGTCTTCGAAAGTTTTAAGACTTTCAACATACAGCTTTCTCCTTCTTAAATATGACTCTCAGAAGTTATCAAAAAAACTGTAATTGCTCTCAGATTTGCAAATTTGGCTTGATATTGCTCCAAATATGCCTAAAGACAGAAAAAGCACTTTACTTTAGGTAGGATGTGGGGCAGTATTCAGGAAACGGTGACAGAAAAAAATCTAGTCTTTGAATATATCATATCTTAAAAGATATAGACAAAGCTGCATCAGAAAAATGGCAGATAATCAGAATGGAACACCAATCAATTTGTCAGGTGATAGTTACAGCATTAGAAGATGAAAAAAATATAGAGAGAGAACAGAAATTTCATCTTCAAATCTGTGTTACACTGTACAAATCAGCAGAACATTTGATATATGATCATTTTTGAAAAGAAGTCATTTCAAAAAAATAGATCTAGCATGGTAGGAGGGCGACAGTGCCATCTGCAGATAGCTTTGAGAAATACATCTTGAATGGGGGATTAGTCTGAAAACAATTGTATCTTTCCAATATGCTTACATTTTGGTAGAGAACTTTAAAAAGTTATTTTGCTTAAAAAATATTTTTTATTAATAGTTTAATTTAAGCAACTTCTGACACTGAATTCAAGATTTTGTTTTAATACAGAGACTACAGAATAGTCTTTGTGGATTAGCTCACAACACAGAATTGTAGTTACAGTTAAAAAGAGAATCAATTTAAGAACTGATTTTATCTTTCATAAAGTTAAATTCTGAATGCAGTTTCTTCATACAAATTTATGATTTGATTTTCTGACAGGACACAAAACAAAATTTAACATACATTTTTCCTCAAGTACATAAATGGTAACAAGTTGTAACATGTAATGGCAAAAAACCTTTTTCCTGATGACTAAGAAGTTTTCTTTATGGCAAAGACATTTATAACCAGTCAACTCAAAATTTAAGAATGCTCTGAGAATTGGATAAAAGAAATATAATGTAACTTCCAAATGTTTTAAATAGGAAAAAAGAAAATGATTTTGATGATGAGAAAAAAACAGAAGAGTGAGCTTCTACCCTCTTATATAAAATCTATGTTTGCTATGGCAAATTAGGAATTTCCTTTCAATTCAATTAACTTTGACTGTAATCTAAAAGAAGCTATAATCGTCTGTGTACTTGACTGTCAAGTAAGATTACTACAAGAAAAACAGGCACACGGAGTCAATACGTACATGTGGATGTAGCTTCAATCTGTTACAATGACAGTTCTAACATAAACTCTAATACCTGCTAATGTAAGCCTGCTTGAAGTCAGGCCTCATGCTTATTGCTTGTCGGTACAGCTGATCTGCTTCTTCTAGTCGGGACTCATTTGCTCGGATCAGGTTGGCCAGGTTGATATACACATTTAGGTGGTTAGGAGCAATTCTGGCTGCATATTTTTTACCAGGAATAATCTGTTTAGAAGAAATACTATTGTTATAATTAGGTACTTTAATGCTAAATAAAAATAAAAAGTTAGCTTTCCTAGTAACTTATTTAAACTAACGCAGAACACAAACATTATAGTGCTGGTTTTACTACTGTAAAAAAAATATAAAATGTGAAAGAAAATGTGTAGTACTCACAAAATGTAAATATATTTTGTGGCCTTACAGGACATATTCTTTTCACTCATGCCAATTCAGTGAACTACTGCTAGTTCACTTCTACCTTTTTTTTATGAAGTCAGGTAAATCAGAACATTCAGATACCAAGGTCTCTTAGTCTCCATCACAGCATTTCACGCTGTCAGCAAAACAGTTCCTTACTAATAGCAGGGCATTTAATTTTATTTTGGAGTGATACTAAAACTCACTTGTTTGGTAAGGTTAGGAAATAAAATGCTCTAATTTTCAGGTTGATTAAAGTGCTTATACACATACATACAGGTGAATAAAGGTGATAATATACTTAGATCCATACTTTTAATGAACACAAGCTATGTGATAAAACCTATAGTAAGTACAATTTATGTCATGTTAGTATAGAAATAATTTTTAAACAATCATATAATAGTTTTATTTTTAGAAAAGATTACATTACCCTATTATTACTATTATCATGAATTTATTACAACTGAAAAACTTGTAGTCTGGGTTAAATTATCTTTTCTGCTGACACACAGATGATAACGGGCAAGAGCAGATCTTTCATTTTTGGTATTACACGACTTTATTTGATGAACCTTGTATTTGTGCCATTATAGAAACTGACGAAAGCAATATAGCAACAGAGATGCATCCACTATTCTGTCACTTATATTCACTGTTTTAGACAGCAATAAGGTTGAATTTAGTACCTACAGTACATAAATAAAATTTTCTTCATACAAAGTTATTTAATTCATAATAAAAATATGTATTTTTCATACTCTAAGATTAAGTACTTAGAAATGGACTACATACAAAAATAAGTTTTAAAAAATTAAATGAGCTAAAAATGTAAATGTACGTTTACAAAGATTGCAAAACTAGAATACTCATTAGACACCAATTTTTCCATCAATAAACTGAAGAAAAGGATTTCCTATCACTCAGTACGGATGTAGAGTAAATATGACACAACAGCTATGTTCTGGCAACTTACTTGAGGCATCAGTGACTTAGCCATCATGTAAGATTCTTCAGCTTCTCTGGTTCTATTTAAGTTTTTGTAAGTTCTTCCTACATTCATGTGGGCACCAATATCATCTAAAATTAGAAAGAAAAAGCATTTATTGGCAATTGAACAGTATTTCATGTAAAATACTAAGAAGATGTGCTTCTACAAACAAATACACTGGACAAAAACACAAAAGCAGAAAAGTCCTGCATTTTCTTTGAAGTTCTTGTACAACTTGTTATAATGGATGACACACTACAAAGTTACTTTAAGTAATGTAAAGACAGAAAACGCACATGACTTAAAAAGCTACCTGACTGGATCTTTGAAGGGGTAAATCGTAAGACAAGGTAGAGGTAATGACATTTATATCATTTTTGTTCACTATAGTTTACTTTTCTATACTATACTATAGCTTACTTCCATTTCCTTCATATCATGTCTTTGGAATTCAATGAAATAATATAGCTCACTTCTACAGGAAAAAAGAATTATCATTATTTCTAAACCTAAAGTGTTACAACTAACAAGTATGCACCAGGAAAGGATAATTCCACTGTGAAAAAACTCCGTGATTTACTTTCTGAAAATATTTGTGAATGTGACTCGAATGAAATTACATGGAGTATCAGGATAATAGCATTAACTAAGGTGTTGTGGCCTTGCTCTTAAATGATGATATAATATAAAGGTAAGTTTTAGATATTATAATTTATCTAAAATATAATCTAAAAAGGTTTGTTAATATTAAAATGTCAGGAACTTTGTCTTACTTTCTAATGTGGAAAATAAAATCTCCAGCAAATTGTTCAGGCAAAGAAAAAGAATGCAGTATAAGTAAGATATGGGGGGTCAGTAGACACTAGTTTTAAAAAAGATATACTCCCCAGTAAATATTTCAAAGGTTTAGATAATGATAAAAGGAAAAGAGATCTTAAATTAGATAGTTTTTATTCAACACAAATATCTAGCAAACATGACAGGTTTCAAATTATGATTGCTACTTGCCTGTAATACCAATGAGTTTGCAATTGTGGAATAGTAGTTCTCTGACTGCAACGCCCAGGGCACACAGGGGCCCAGCATATGTATCTTGGGCATTCCCCTACAAGGAGAGCAACAGTCCTAAGATCTTACTACATTACCTTTCAGGCTACCAACTGTGTGCACTGTATAAAAACTGGCAGATGCAGTATAATTTTGTAGAGCATTTGGGGACAAGGTTAGGAGTAAGGGAATTAATTTTTTTTTCCTTTTTAGATGTATGGCTGAATTTTACGGTGTTAGGAGGGCATCAAGCCAACCAAAAAAAAAAAAAAAAAACTTATGCTGGCTGCAAACCAGAATACCTGTGCAGTTTTAAAAATTCAGACACCTTAACGTCACCAAGTTCCATCAAAACCTAATCTTCAAAAACAAAATTTGTGGGCTGGTGACTTAGCTCAGAGGCACAGCGCCTGCTTGGCAAGTGCAAGGTCATGAGTTCGATTCCCAGTACTGGAAAGAACAAAAAAAAAAAATAAATAAAAAATTTGCAGAAACTATGCCGTTAAAAAGTTTCACAGGCAATTCTGATGTAGAACCATGGTTCAAAAAACAATTGCACTACCAAGCTCATATAAAAAGAGTAGGTAATCTTTGCCTTTATAGAACTGAATTTTTTTCCTATCAGCTAAACCTGTAGTAATTGTTATAGAGATCAGAAACTTAATTAGAAAGAACTGAGGATATATAGAAGTTGAAAAATGTAATTACACAGTAAGAATTTAAGCTAAGGACAAATAAATGAAAAGTATGGACAAATATAAATATGATTATGACAGTTGTGTTTTTAAAATGTTGCTGCAATCAATCAACTTCAAGTAAGCTGAGAGAAGAAAGAGATTGTTATTGGTTGGCTCTATCTAAAAGATAAGCCAAGTTACTACCCAATGGAATCAGGTTTTAGAATTATGGCAAGGAGATATGGTTATCAGTGTAGACTTGAGACATCAGAATAAAGTAACTCCACTTTCTCAAAGAACAAAGACAGCAATCAGACATCCTTCAGCGTCAACTGGATTACTCAAAATACGTAACAGAATGAGATGGAATTTCTAAGCAATTTTTTGTGTGACAAAGATAAGATTTCAAAGGGGAAAACAGTACAGTATTACATTTAAGGTCAATTTGAATTTTTAAAAAGGTAAGAAAATGTGACAAGATAAAAAAAAAATGAATGACATTTGCACCTAAAGAGGTAAAGAGAATTTCAAGTAAGTTTAATATTATGAGTGCACTAAAGCAGCAGACTTGAGCAGCCTGCCTCTAACGCAATGTAAATGAGGATCTCAAATGTCAAATGTGCTCTGTCAGGACTGCAGTTTATTTCTCCAACTCACTTTTCTAGAACCCTAGTTGAGTATTTTACTCCTTTTCTTTCCTACATTTTTCTCCTTTTTGCCATGAAATGAGATCAGGAGCACTTACCCCAAGACGGCACTAAGGTTCCCTCTCTGTCTATTGTCTATACTATGGGAGACTAAATATCCAACCTCAAATATATTTCTTTGGCATATTCTGTGTTACTGTAGTTGATTATTTAAAGAAACTGAAGACTTCTACAGGTGTAGTGATAGCTCTACAATGCTGTCCTTTTATAAAAACAAATTTATATCTATCTGTATTACTAAACAGAAGTTGGCCGATGTAGATAGAGGTCTTTCAATCTGATATCCCCCTTTTGCCTACACATGATCTTCTCACAGAAAGAAGAGATAGGGGTCTGATCCCTGGCACAGAAAGAGAATACCTCAACTGGCTGTTACCTGGGAAACTTCTGCATAACAAGACAGCCCCGTACTCACTGTGCACCTGAAGCTTCATTCCCTCCATAAAGTACAGATCCCTCTTCCTTTGCTCGACTCAGTAAGATTCAGCCATTTTGCCCTCTCTGCCTCCCGCTGTGTATATGACTCCCCTGCTTAGGCACGCAATAAAATGTATGTTCTTTAGTTGTTATGTACTGCTAGTATATTTGATAGACTGAAATTATCAAAACTTCAGAGAAAAGAGTAAATTTCACACATTTCTATTGTACTAGTATGCAGGACAAGAGCTCCACTAAGAGAAAAAATTTGTTATTTGTCGCTGGATCCCCAGCAGGTAAAACAGTGCCTGACATAGGGTAATTTCTCAAATTCGTGTTCAATGAATAAACCTATGGGGCCCTTTGCTATTCATTCTCTTTTCAGCCTTTGCGGCTATAGCTTAGATCTGGCCCAAAGGACCACGTGTGAAAGGTTTGGCTGCCAACCTATAGCCCTACTGGAAGGTGGTGAAGCATTTGGGAGTGAGGCTTAGGGGAGCGAAGTCTGGTCATGACAGTGTGACTTTCAGGGGATGCTGAGACCCTGGCCCCTTCTGTCACTCTTTTTGATTCCTGGCTGCCATGAAATGAGCAGCTTCCTCTGCCATGTGCTCCCATCATGATTACTGCCTTATCACAGGCCCAAAAGCAGCAAGACAATGAACTATGGACTGAAATTTTAAAAACTGTGAACCAAAACAAATCTTCCCTTTTATTAGGGTCCTTTCTTGCTTAGTAAAACACATCTTATAAAGTCTTAAGTCTCTTTATCTGAATTTTCCATGCTTACATTACAACCATAGTGAAAAAGTAACAAAAGAAAAAACCACCATACCATCGGATCTAATTTTACAGTAGTACTAATCTCATGTAGGTTATTATAGCTGTGTCGCAATTATATTGCATCATCCTAGTCTATACACTTTCCTAGATCTTTACTTTTCCAAGTGTGATATGCAGACTATCATCTGGGAGCTTATTAGAAACGCAGAATTTCAGGCTCTATATAAACCTACACCAGAATATGCACTGTGACAAAATCTCTAGGTGATTTATGTGCATATTAAAGTTGGTAAAACACTATCTTAGAAGACTGCTTCACATTTTCTCAATTAACTTTTCTCCTTACTCTCCAGCAATTTAGCTATTTCCCTGAGAAAACAAGACTCAAAACAAAAACAACTTCCCAAGCTTCCTTGTCATCTACTTACCTGCCTCTATCTATGTGCACACACTGTGCCTTCCCTGTTACCACAGTTTAACTATCAACCACATCTGAGTAAAATCCCCACCCTGTGCACCATCTCGTATCTCCCTCATCTGTTCACGGACACTGATCTAGTTATTTGTCTACCCATTTTGTATTACTTTTTCCGAATTCACTGGATTAGCCCCCGAATATGTCTTCTGTCTCCCACCTGAAAAAAGCAACAGCAAAAACCCTATTACCGCACCACCATCTTCTCTTGATCCCACAGTGAGCACTACCACTGTCTTACTGATGCACTTTAACAATTACCTTTGCTAATTATCTCCAACTGTTCCTTCCCTACTCTTTTAAACTTACTCTTACATACTTTTGCAAAAATGCATGAGTGCCATCCAACAACTATGTCTTCAAAACATTTCTTAAATGTCTGATATAAGTGGCTTCCCCAAATAAAATCCAGTTTTTTTCAAAGAAAATAAACTATTCATCAATTACCTGGCTGAACGTGGGTAGCCTGCAAGAAGTATTTCAAAGCTCTCTCAAAGTTCTTTTCATTTTCCAAAGCATGACCAACATTATTCCATAATTTGGCATTATTTTTATTTACCTTAAATATAAGTGAGAATGGAAATAAGTTACAATTTAAAAAGACTCAGGCTTACACAAATATTTGTGTGGAATACCATGACGAGTGGAACATTTCAAGAACATGTTCTGGGACACGAGGAAGAATCCATGAAGACTGCTTCATTAAATTTACTCTTCTCTTCCTCTCATTCATAAATATGCTAAAGCAGCAGTGTGATTTCATCCATTTTGCTTATTAAACTGTACTAAAATTTTATTTAATCAAAGCATAGTGTTGTTTGAAAACTGCTGCTATACTATCTGTAGTTTTTTAAAGGTATTAGAATATGAGGTTATGTTTCAATATTGCAGTGACAACTTTTTAGGCTTGACATGCACGTTTATAGCTATTCAAGTAGTCTACTGTGATAATGGGAATCTTGGATTAAAGTTCTGAGTTACTGTGTACTTTTACGGTTAACTGAGGGGCATGATACTTTTGCAGGTATAGGATAGGCAGTCAAAAAGCTGGCTGTAGTATCTAAGGCTGTAAGCTTTAACTACTGGCTTGAAAATGCAGACAATCGAAATTCCTAAAAATTATGAGGCTCCACTGATATTCAGAAGTACAAAATGATAAGAATGGCATTGAGGCTTTGCTTGTCTGCAGAGCTAAGAGATAACATGGAGCTACTGTATGACAGAAGAGCAGAATTATCTGATCTTAGGTAGATGTTAAATCAAGAAGTAACATGGATTACTGGAATGACACAGCAATTCAGTAAGATAGGCCATGGAGGAAAAAAAGGACCAAAAAAGACAGAAAGTAACAATTAAGAGACCTGAAGAAGGGCAGTGTTAGGGAGAGACTTAAAAAAAAGCTTCGCTGCTAATCCTTATAGAAAATAAATGTTTGCTTCTTAAAGAGGCCTTCTCCAGATTTATGTTGTTTATTCTATAGAAATACTACATCACTCAAGTCTATCAATCCTGATCTTACCATAGCATTGTAACCATTGGTTATTGCCCATACACACCTTTCAGAAACATTTTTTTTTTCTTTTTTTTTTTTGGTCTTTTTTGAGACAAGGTCTCGCTTTGTGGTTCAGGCTGGCCTTGAGCTCACTTTGTAGCCCAGGCTGGTCTCAAACTCGCAATGATTCTCCTGCCTCAGCCTCCCAAGTGCTGGGATTACAGGTGTGCATCATAAAACCATTTTTTGCTGTGTATTTTATTTCACTGAGTTATAAAACCATTATAGAACCATTACTTTATGTACCAATAAGAAAGATGGTCACCAATTACTTTTACATGCCTTTCAATATATTTCCTATATTAAAAAGTTAAAAATATTCATCCAAAAAACCAATGATATATAGTATTTCACTTAAACATTTTATCATGTGAACTTTTAACAAGTGAATGGCATTTAGGAACTTATTCAGCATGCTTAAGATACACAGTTAAACACTATAGGAGAACATGGTTATGGCATATATTATACAGAGAACAAATCACATTCATTAATCTTCTGGTAAAATACTTCATACTGACAATTGAACATGTGAATTAAAAAGAGCTTAGAAATGGCTACAAAAAATCATTGACAACACAGTTTAGTCATTCTGAAGAATATCTTACCTTCAAGGCTGACATAAATAATGTATATTCAGACTCCCAATCCCAATTTCTGTGAAGTGTTTTTAAGGCATGAGTAAGTATCACCACTGAGAGACAGGCCCAGGATAGCTTTTTAAATACACTGTTTAAGAGACCAAAAAAGGAAGTCTGTATCACCAAAAGTATTTTACTTTTTAGAAGGTAAGAAATATGATGAAGATTCCTGTATCATGCTCATATTTATTCTAATGATCATTCAACTTTAGAGGGAACCAACATCAACAAAATTAAATATTATGAAAATGATCTTCCCATTTAGTCCTCAATTACATTACACAGTCATTACTTGCTATCTGAGGGGGACTGATTCCAGAGTCTCCCCTCTACAGGATTCCACAACCTGAGGATGGTCAAGTCCCTTATACAAATGGGAACACACGTACTTTATGTACTTTAAAGCACATCTAGATTACTTTAATACCTGAAATAATGTAAACGCTATGTACATAAGTGTTACATTATACTGTTTAGGAAACAATGACAAAAAAGTATGTACATGTTCAATAGAGATGCAACTGTTTAGAAAAAATTGTTTAGAAAAAATATTTGATCCATACTCAACTGAACCTGCAAATACAGAAGCCCTGCATACAAAGGCCTGACTGTATATTCTAGTATTTGCCTTTATTATAATAGCTTTGTTTATATTAAATGACCAAAACTGATAACATCAGTTTTTAATTGTGAAATTTTTATATTTAGAGTCTTTTATGTTCTTACTTGCAACCTGGATATTACTATTTGTGTTTATACCACTTATCTCTGGCTATTATTTGAAAGTTTTTGCTTAAGAATTGTATCATAGACCATTATGATATTGTTAGTAAATTTAACAGTGTAAAGTCTGAGTTGTCTATTAAAGGGCATAGCAAAATTTACTCTTTGTAAAACAGATACAAATTACTCATATAACTTTTAGGCTAATTATCTGAGCCTCAACTTCTCATTTGTAAAAGATGATTCTACTTCAATAATCTTTATGCTATCATCTAGCATTACTGTCCTCTGATTGTGTGTTGATTCTGTAACATGGTTTAATTTCTTGCATACTGATTGATCTGCTTAACCAAAATAAGAGTGTGGGATCAGAAATAAAATGGTTATTGGAAGTAGTAAGGTATAAAGTTGAATCAAGGATCTCTTCTGTTTACTAGCTATGTGATCTTGTGTAATTCAGGTCACTTGTATGAGATTCAATTTTCTCATCTGCAGAATCGAGTGTCAAGATTAAATGAAAAATATATTTAAAGATATATTATCTGCAATCTAAAGATATACATATATATTATGATACTTGGCACATAGTAGGCACTTGAAAATTGGTAGTGATTATAGCTGGATATATGGGTAGAAGCTAAGATTTGTATAGATAGTAAAATTTCAGGTATGATTATGAAGCATATACAACATGACAAAGTGGCTGTCAGTAAAACAGAAAAAAAGAAAAAAATAAAGCACACCAAGAAGAATCCGAACAGAAATGAACAGATGTAGGAGAGAAGCAGGAGAGAAACTTTTTATATTGTCAAGGGGAGTAACAGTAAGAACAAAAAGTCTTGATTGCATATAGCTACTAGCAGACAATTTGCTAGTAAAATGATGTAAGAGAGACAGAATTCCTTGGGTTGAAAAGTGACTGGAAAATGAGAAAGTGAGAACAGTGACCATTTCTTTTTCAAGTTGCAAAACTAAATTTCATATTACTGTACTACCATTACTTAATCATTAACAATTTGCTTGATTTGACAAATTTAGAAACACAGTATATGTATAAATGGGATAATTATTAGAATGACATTTTCTAAGCATATTGTTTTTAACCGTTAAAAGTATCGACACCAAGATGATGATGAAGATGGTGTGAGAAATTATAAATTGCTTACTACATGCATTTTACATGTATCAAGAAGGCAGTATGACTCACTGAAGTAGGATGACTATCTCAGTTCACTGTGTGTGAATGGGGAAATGGTCATTTGTGATTCAGTCTCAAGAATATCTTTATTTTTATTTGGGTCTGACTCAAAGTTTTTGTGCCTTGGGCTGTAAAATAAAGTTATATAAACCAGGGGGGAACACAGAATGTACAGGTTCTGTAGAGCTTTCCTAATTTGAATTATCAACAAATGAGGACACTATGAAGATGAAAAAACAAAAGGTATTAAAGTATGACATACAAAATTTAAATACAGACTGAAAATACTTTTGTGTACCACAATTCTATAATGAGTAAGAATTAAATAAACTAACATTTTAATTCACCTTTTCTTTGAAATTTTCTGCCATCCATGGGCTACCAAAATACAGAATCCCATGCTAGGAACATATAGTACTCGCTCAGCAACAACAAATCCAACAGGAAAAAAAAGGTTCGATGCAGGAATAAATGGTAATGCTATTAAACAAAGTGCCTAGAAAGAAAAAGGAGATAGCTTATTAAATTAAAAAAAAAAATGTATGGATTTTCAACACTCAAATTGAAAATTTCATCACAATCTGGATAAATGCATCTGTGGACCATTTTAAGTACTATGAAAAATACTAATGTAAACATAAAGGTGGCATCTTAGGCATGGGTAAAAAACACTAGGATTTGTGTAAGCAAGATGAGATGGAAATCTTGACTTATACAACTTAAAATCGAAGAAAATCTGTGGACTTTCTTTGAAAACAAGATTGTTTTGTATGTTTCAGAATGATTTCTTAAAATTTGAATCTTTTATAGCATTTTAAGTCTAAAGAGTTTGGTTATCTCTCGCTGTTTTTCTGTGAAATAGAATGTAAGAACTAAAGGTAACTACATCTTTAAAAAAACTGAATAATCAGGTTTCTCTAGATAAATAAAAAAATCTGAAATGTTAACTAAGACAGTATACTCAACAATAAAAAATAATTAAAATGTGGACAAAAGATCTGAAGAAATATTGCTCTAAAGACATACAAATAGCTGAAAGACATGAAAAATGCTCAAAATCACTATCAGAGAAATACAATTTAAAACCTCAAGGAACCCCACCTCACTACAATTAGAATGGGCTTTATCAACAAGACAAAAGAAAGCGAGTGCTACAAATGCGTGGAGAAAGGAAAGCCCTGTCCACCAGGGTTGGAATGTAACTCAGTGTGACCATTAGCGAAAACAGTGTGGAGCTTCCTCAAAAAGGAAAACGGAACTATCGTATGATCCAGCGATCCCACTAACTGGTAGATATCCAAAGGAAACAAAGTCAATGTGTTAAAAGAGATACCTGCACCCCCATGTTTACTGCAGCATTATTTAGAATAGCCAAGAAAGGGAATCTGTATGTGTCCATGAGAGGATGAGCAGATAAAGAAAGCAGGGTTGGAATATCATTCAGGTTTAAGGAAAGGTCATCTGTAACATGGATGAACCAGGAGGCCATTTGTTATGTGAAACAAGTAAGTCATAGAAAGCCAGGTGCGGGATTCATGCTTATAATTCCAGTACTCAGGAAGCTGAGGCCCGAGGATCCCTGCAAGGCCAGCATGGGCTACATAATGAGTTCAGAATAGAACTTTAGAATTTAGAATATACAGTTTAGAATATACAGTAAGACCCTGGATCAAAAATAAAAAAGAAAACAAACAGAAAGACAAATACATGATTTCATTTAGAAGGCTAATTTCACAGACTGTAATAGTGTTTATCAGGTGAGGAGAGGGGCAAGTTTGGGAAGATGCTGTCCAAAGAATATAATTTTTTAGTTGTATAAGATGAATAAAAAATTTTTAAAGTTAAATGTTTATACGCTAACTTCCGTACATGTGGCAAAAATAAATTTATAAGGAAAGGTGCTAATAGGGTTTTCAGCAGAAAAAAACTATAAAGGTTGACAACAAAGACAAATGTACATTTTTATAATTTTACTACTATAAGAGATTACTAATATTGGAAATTGAAGGGATAAAATAGATATCACTTAGACGAGAGCAAAGTTTAGTACATATAGTAAAATAAAACTGCTCCCTTTACATCAATTGTTTTTATAAAGAAATTTCTAAAATCCAAAAGTAAAAAGTAGAGGCTTGGGATTTAGCTCAGCAGCACAGCGTCAGCCTAGCAAGCGCAAGGTTGTGAGTTCGATTCCCGGTACTGGAAAAAAAATGAAACAAAAAAAAAGTAACTGAGCTGGCCAACTCCTTCACAAATCCATCCCTGTGACCTTTACTATCCCCCTCTCTTTTTTATAATGTACACTTTTTAAATAAAGTGTACACTATATACATTATTTTATTTAAAATATACATTATATTTTACATTTTTATTTAGTGTACACTTTTTAAATAAAGTGTAACTATATACATTATTTTATTTGCCAAAATTTAACTGTTGCTCCTCTCGTTTTCCAACCTTTCCCGTAGCTTTAGTTGTATTCCACTATTTATCTATTTGTCTGAGTTTATTTGAACAGCAATGTACTGTTAGAAAGTCCTAAAGCTACAGTAGATAAATACTCTGATCAACTCATGATCAAAAACTTCTAATCAATCCTTCAGATTGCTCAAGACAGCTAGTTTTCTGACAGATCTGATTCTACTCTTTGAGGCAGTTTTCAATCTTGACTGCTCTTGTACTTCTAACCCATTTCACTTTTAGGAGGCAATCATATTACTTAATTAAGAGAAAGCTGAAGCCATCAAGTAAGAATTTCTTCAATTCCTTGCTACTGAATCTACCAACATCCATATTCAAGGTCTTTGCTGTCTTCTTGTTTTTTGTTTTTTTGGTTTTTTTTGGTGGTTTTTCTCCGGTACCAGGAACCGAACTCACGACCTTGCGCTTGCCAGGCAGGCGCTTTTGCCGTTGAGCTAAATCCCCAGCCCCTGTCTTCTTGTTATGTAAGAGTTTTCTCCTATGTAAGGTCAAACTTGTGCACGGTATTTCCCTGCTTTTCACAAACCTCAGTATCAGTTATTCCTGCTCTCATTTATTCAACCATTTTCTAATCTTCATTCTTTGTACCTACATTTAAACATCCTCTTGGGGCTTTCTAACCTTAAAAATCTCCTTCATCTTTCAATTCCCCACTCATTATGTTCCTCAGGTATAAAACAAGTTCCTAAAATCACAAAAAGACTTTTATAGTCACGGTAACAAGTAGTTAGTCTTAAACTTAATCAATATTTCAACTTAATAAACGGTTTTGCAATCCAATCATTAGTGAATCAAAAAGACAGCTGAATACTGAAGTAAAAATGCTTCTCAATAACAACCAATCAACAATTTCTGGCATTTAAGTAACTGAGAAGACTAAAAGAGGCCAAATCCAATAGACAGCACTTTTCAACTACATTTTACTTTATTACTTAACAGTATCTATTAATGTTAACCACTCTGCCTTTCTTAAAACGTTTTCTTACTTTTCTTTTTATCTGAAATTGTCCCCTATTTAGGTTCATTCTTTTCTATTCAAGATCTAAACATGGGAGATATTTTAGGACAAAGTCACAGGCTTTGCTTTCACTCTATTCAGCAACCTTACTATTTTTGAGGGAAGAATTAAGATCAAATATTCTAGGACATCCATAGCATTTAATCTTAATTCATAGTAAGTATGAGTTTTGTTTTTTTTTTTTTTTTGGTTTTTCTCCGGTACCGGGAACCAAACTCACGACCTTGCGCTTGCCAGGCAGGCGCTTTTGCCGCTGAGCTAAATCCCCAGCCCCCATAGTAAGTATGAATTAACTTTTGTCACATATAATTAGAATGGTACTAGGGAGCAACCAACTTTTAGAGAAATGACAATATCCTGTTTGAGAAAAGCTGTTTTTATAACTTCTCCACATGCCACTATTATCTACATCCTGCTTTCAATTACTATCTTTATGATAATGAATACAATTTTTATGTGCAACTTAGGTGTCTCTCCTGAATTGCAGGTATGAAGCCCCTACTAGAATGTTTCAAAGAAACCTTAAACTCAACATATCCAAAGGTAAGAGTAAATACCATCTTCTCCCCAAACTCTATACTGTATTCTTTCTATTTTTTCTGTATCTCAGGTACTGGCCACAAATTTCTCCATAATTCAAGCTCCTTGGAAATGCGCCCTGGTACTTCTTTTTATTATCATATCCTCAGTGTCAAAAATGCTGCCTAAAAGGACTACCATCATAAATTTCTCCTGAAAGAATACATGACTCTGGTGACTGCCCAAAAAAGATATATTTGTAGAGCGTATGTTTGATAACATATAGTAAGTGCTTGAGAAAATTTTACAAGTTATTACTCTTTCGTTAAAAGAAAAAAACAACTCTTATAAGAAACTAGGGCCAAATAAAATCACAAAGAAAAGTAATTCAAAAGGACAATATTAAGACTTTTTAAAATAATCAGCCTTCTGTGAACATGAGAGCTACCTCAGAAAGTAATGAGTATCTTGCTGATGGGAATTAAGAGCTATGTGCATTTTTTTCAGCTGCGTATTTCATATGGAGCTTTTCTCCACGAAAGGGAAACAAGTATACAATATAATAAGTTACTTTAGATTGCATAACCTACTTAGATTAAGCTAAGAAACAGAAGACATGCTGAACACATACATCAATTTATGCCTTCAAATCACATTCTGATATATAATTTTATTTTATTTTATTTTAGTTTAGTTTAGTTTTTTGGTACCGAGAATCAAACTCAAGACCTTGCGCTTGCCAGGCAGGCGCTTGCGCCACTGAGCTATATTCCCAGTCCTAATATATAATTTTAGGATGATCTAAAATAAATAGGGGAAATAAATCATAGTTCAGGATGATGCTGAACAAAGCAAGGTACTTGCTTCTAAGACGGTTTTCATGAACTAAAAGTAGCCTCTTAATCAATGAACGTAACCCTATTTGAAAGGTTAAGAAAGTTTCTTACCATTAACACAGTCTTGGAAGAATCACCAGGGTATCGGAGACTGAATATTCCCAAAACCCCCAGAAAGCAAAAGAAAGCAAAAGTGGCAAGATTTCGAATATCTAGAAATGACTCTATGAGTGGTATTGTTCCCATTGTCCAATCACAGCAGAGCTCTGAAGGATTTAATAGAAGCCAAGCATTCACAGGAAGGAGGTAGTTAAATGTTAGCTGCCTTGTAGGAGTTGGACTTACAGCAGCTGGGTTATCAAACCTGTATAAAGAATGAAAATAAAGTTATTTAAAAACTTTTTTTTTCATGAGGGTCTCACTATGTAGTCTGGGCTACAACCTAACATATAGGCTAGCCTGGCTTTAAATTCACAGCAATCCACCTGCCTCAGCCTCCCAAGAGCTGGAATTATACATGTGCGGCACCACAGCTGTATTCTATGACATAAGAGTATGCATATGAATAAAAAGTAAAGGAAATATTATATGTGTAATCTTGTTAAAACAAAGATTTTGTGAGTATCTTCTAATCTTGTCAAAATTCAAACTGTCTCAAATTTATGCAATGTCTAGTTGAAAGAAGCAGTATTTACGAAGAACTGTTTAAAGGTCATCTCTTTCAGATTATCAGAATAATTCAGACACACATAATACAGTATTATGACTGTGCAGAAATGCTTTCATTAAGTTATGACCCAATTAAGTCACAACAAGAAGTTACTTAAGATTCATTGTATGTGTGGCATGGATGCTTTTGAGAATATTCACCAATGTTATTTAATAATTAAATATAAAAGGATAAAACAGCCTATTTAAAAGTCAGATCATCTGAACAAACAAAAAAGGAAGCCCCATTTATATGTAACTCCTGAAATTTTCAAATATCGAGGCATAGATACATAAAAAATAATTTTATTAGCATGTATCTCTAAGAGAAATGTCTCATACAAGAAAACTTCATTAAATAATTGAAAAGATGGCATATTATTATCAACTATATCAATAATCATATTAAATATGTGAAATTCTAAGTATGGAGTAATACTATTGATAAAAATCATTTAATGATGATAAAGGGATCAACTCATTAAGATGACATGTCAATCGTAAATAAATATGCACTTACTAACAGAGCTTCAAAAACACATGAAAACAGACACTGGTAGAACTGCAAGGTGAAAGAAACCAATCTACAACTTTAGAAAGACTTCAATAATCATCTCTCAATAACTGATAAAGACAAAGACCATTAAAGATTAGAGAAGCACTAACCTTAACACTTAACCAATTTGGGGGTCTTTATCTTTGTTGTGGGGGTTTCATGGGTGCACATATATGCCATAACTAATCAATCTGTATATTCGAAATACTCTATACAGTTTTTTAAAAACATTGATTATAGCTCAAAAAAGCTGTTAAAAAATTCATTGTAAATCAAAGGCCATGTGATGACTTAAAAGCAAAAAAGAGAAAACAAGAGAATCAGAATTCATACCTTGTAAATACTGGAAGCTGGGATTGAATAACCTGAACTCTAATTACCACAAGCAATAATGTACTGAACATCAAGACAATGAGTTTTATTAGTGTCTGCAGCAGAGAAAACGGAATACTACTCTTCCCACGGAGAAACTGTCCAGCAGTAGTACATAATAATGGCAAAGTATACTAAAAAAGAAAAAGGTTTAAATAGCAAATCATAATATAATGTTTTCAATAGTGCAGTAATAAAAGCAAGAATAGATTCAAACTGAATATAACTCGAAAAGTCGATGTAGAACAATTTATGGAACTGTTAATGAATAAAAAGCTCAAGAATCTTTTCCAATAATGAATTATACTATAACAATATTAATGTGTAATTTTCCAAACAGCCTGATGATTTCATTACTGAACTTAAAAAGCAGTCCATACCAAACTGAACGTGTTGGGCCGGGGATATAGCTCAGTGGCATAAGCGCTTGCCGGGAAAGCCTGAGGTCATGAGTTTGATTCCCAGTACCAAAAAAAAAGCAAAAACCAAAACCAAACGCGTCATAAAATGCTAAGTACGTCATTTTCAGTAGTTAACACCTGTTTTACTTTCAAAATTTTGGTGTCATGATTGGTAAGCAAATTCACACTCATAGAAAATTAGACTAATAAAATCTGATTCTACTAGGACAAAAGATAGCAACAAGAAAATTTGTATTTTTCCTTACCCCCTGGGCGATGAACACTTCATATACACAACATATTCCCACTACTGTTATGCCTTGTTCTTTACACAGTGTTGCAACAGCCACTAAAAATACTGTCAATGCAATTGGAGTCCACACTGCAATTTAAGAAGAGAAAAAAATTTAAACTATATAACAAACTTTATAATACCATAAAACAGTATCTTAAACTTTACTTGCGTTTTGACATTTATGTCCCACTGACCAACACCCATACTTTAAAATGAATTGAAATTCTCTAAGTAATTTTTGCTTTACATTTTTAAAGCAAAATATGAAAGATTTTACAGTGGTACATGCATATAGTTCCAGCTACTTAGTAAGGTGAGGCTGAGGTATGTAACTGTGGGAGATGGAAGGTCATTTAACCAAATATTAACTTTTAGAGTACTTCAAGAGGATATTGTTTTGCTGGTCCACATTAGTTACTGAACTACCTTTTACTGAATGATGTACTGCATAGGTAAGAGGTTTTAATATCCACATATTATAGATAAAGAAACAGAAGCAAGAGATATTTGAGTAATTTCTCAAGGGCAGAATATAGAGCTAGAAAATAAACAGTGGAAAGGGAGTTTGAAAACAGGCTCTCAAATCCATGCTTTAATCATTATGCTTTGCTACCTGTTATACTGTTTTAAGGCCTTACAGTATGTATAGCAACAAGGGGAAAATTTATTCCTATTAAAAATCCAAGATAAAACAGACTATTTGGCTAAATAACGTATTTTTTTGTTTTGTTTTCTGAGACAGGGTCTTGCTATGTAGTTCAGGTTGGCCTTGAACTCCTGGCAACCCTCCTGCCTTAGCCTCCCAAGTGCTGGGATTACAGGTATGCACCACCAAGCCCAGCTAAATCACTTATTTATTGAACCTTAATTTCCAAACAAACAAAATTAGGCTTTGTATCACCACTACTTTGGGACTCCAGTGAGAAAATCCTCTCAAGAACTCGGAAAATAACTCAGAGTCAATCTTTAAGATTAGCCAAATAAAGGTTAAAACTACTATATGAATCTCTTCTCATGTTCACTGTGTCTACACCCTAAAAAACTCATTTTTATTGCTGAAACTTGTTTCCTAACGATGTCCATCAGGAGTTAATGAATAAAGAGCATGTTCCAGAGGAAGTCACATGGTACAGGCTCAAAAAAAGGCTACAATGTAATTGATACATAATAAAAGCTAGTCTATCAGGCTTTTAAAGCCTTCTAGGAATTATTTACTGAAAAACAACTGAAGAAGCATCAGTACCTACACTGTTCTTCTTCAATAGCAGTTAAACCCTAAATGTGGCACATAATATTTTGTAAGAATCACTTGGAATGAATAAAACTTACTTGATGAAATTTTTATATATAGTTACAGAAAAAAAAAATACGTTAGAAATTTACCTATGGAATTATCTGGTCCTTTTGACTTTGTATATGACAAAAATGCAGCTAGAAAAAAGATAGACGACAGAAGTTCTGCTCTTCCTACAACACCTGTTACCTAGAAAGGGAAAAAGAGGGAGGTTCATATTAATGAAGAATATCTCAAAACTAGTAGTGAACAACACTTTAATGTTAGTCTGGAACATTTCAAGAGCGTATTTCTTTAATGTTTGAGCGCCCCCAAGTGGTGAACTTATATATCTTCTATAAATGGGAATTTATCAGGGTCTTGTTTTAACAATTCTACTTATTAAAATAATAACAGTCACAGGAAGTTGCAAAAATAGCACAGAGGCTTTACATATTCTTCATCCAAATTCAAGCAACATCATCCATAATTAGTACCACTGTTAGAAGAATTTTTTATAAACAAAAGTATTTACAAATTTTCTTAAAACATGAGCATTTTCAAACTGTAAGAGTATCATAAATTCAGTAAATTATATCTCATAATTAACCTGAAAACTAAAAAGGACAATAAACTTTAAACAATTCCTTTAATTTTAAAAATTTAAATAAAAAACTCCCCAAACTATCCTTTAAAGTATTTTGAACTCAAGGCAGAATTTATTTCTGGACATGTTTGGAAAAATTGTTCAGCTAGATATCACCAGGACAACCAGTACAGAGATGCACAATACTCTTCCAAAACACAAAAACATGTTTTTGCTTAAAAAGAAAGTTTCTAACAAAGTAACTGGACAAAATTAGCTCTGCTAAGAGGCAGCTTTGGGGTTTCAAGGTTACTAAGATATATAAAATTATAGTTTGGGTGAGTCTTATAAGGAAGTGGCTGAGAAGACATTGACAACAGCAGATAGCTCACAATTTTAAATCATATGGCAATAGACAATTTTCAAATATGCAGCACAGTATTTGTTTAATATGTGTCTCCAAATATTTTGATGTATTCTCATCCTTTACTTAAATCTACATTATTTACCCTTTGAAACATAAACAATGACAAGCTAACAAATATTTAAAATTTGTGTTGACAGAAAATAACTAGCAAGCTGGGCAAGATGGAGCATGCCTGCAATCTTGGTTCTTGGGAGGTGAGTTCAAGACCAGCCCAGGCAACTTGGTAAGACCCTGACTCAAAATAAGATTTAAAAAATAGGGGTAGTGATACAGCTTAGCTTAGAAGCATAGTGTCTGCCTATCATAAAAAAGACCCTAGGATCAATCTCCAGAACCAAAACAACAAAACTATTACCAAAGACCTGAATCCATTTATATTTTATACTACTAAAATGAAGAGATTATACATACCTTATGCTCTTGACCGTTATGTTTCAAAAACTAGTTTAAAAATAAATGCAGTTGTGAGACTTGTGCATGAAGGATTTAAGATACTGTAGTACTTTAAGAGTTATTAAGTATTTGGATTAAAATAATGGTTAATTTTTTAAAATATGTACCAGTCACTGCAGGCTTTTTAAAAATAAAGATTTAAAAAATTAATTCCTGTTATACTTACTGCTTCTGTATGTATTGGATGCACTGCAAAAAGCAGAGCAGCAATCACACCACTCTTGTTGTCCAGAAAAAGTTTGCAGACTTTAAGAAATACCACACTAACCATAGCATGGAAAATCATATTTAGGAGATGATATGACATTGGTTTCAGTTCACTAAACATATAATTTAAGCGAAATGTCAATACTGTTAAAGGTCGGTAGGACTTGTGGCTTCTCTCCTACAAGGAAGAAAAAGCACTGATTATTAAAGTAGCTTGGTCCTTCAGTATACAGAAGCTAAGCTAGTGACTGTTTTTACTATGAAGAGATTTGCAGTTGGCTGTGAAGTAACAGTAAAGCAATGAAATGCCCCCGAACAATATAAAATATAGCATTCTAATGTGTAGGCTTATGTTTCTGTTCTTTTTCTACAAAAACAAAGAGAACTCCTTCCTGATACATGATGGTCAGATAATTCACCAGAGGAAGAGCACTTGACATTCCTCTCAAATATTCAGATTTTTACAAAAAGGTAGAACAATGGTGGCACTGATCAAACTGGAATCTAGGATCTACCCAAAGCTAGTCTTTTTCCTATTATCAATGCCAAAGTTTATATAACTGTCAGCTAAATTTTCACAAGGAAATCAAGAACAGAATGCTTACCACGTCAGTTCAAATCATGATTCAAAAAAATACTCCCTAGGTGTTTTGTTTTATCCATAATGTATAAGCATGTATAGATTAAAATAAAAATCTCCAAATACCAAAGAGAAGAATAAAGTTTACGCATGAACACTTTTTAAAGGTATCCAAATAGAATCTTTTTATTGTGGGATTCTCTTTTAACAATAAACCAAGTTTCATGTGAAGTATTGAACTTATTTATAACTTTTAAGTCACATTAACCACAAATACTTTTTACCCAAAAGCAAAGTCAAAGTAGATTTAAGAATAAAATTCATAGTTTAATAAAGTATCACCCTAGTTGAGTTTATTTGTTGTCTTACATGAAAGGCACCCACATACTCAAATTCTTTGTTCTTCTACTTCTTCCCATATTCTGGTGTCACTCACTCTCTGGCACACAGGTATAAACCTAAGCCTGTCTGTCCTTACAAGGGCATTTTTATATCAGGAAACACAAGGATAAAATATACTCATTTTGAAATAAGGAAGATTTCAACATTTGTTTTTACTAATTACACATATGATGTACCATCTATTTAGAATGATCTTTCCTGTTTAGCCAATTCTAGTTCATACTTGAAATTTCATCTTAGGTACACAAAATTATTTTTAAGGTACTCTATAGAATTGCCTTGTTTTGCACTAGAAGACAGATGGTAGAAACCTCCTGAATCCCTGAATTGTTACTGTTATCTCCACTGGGACATGTTTGTCAGGTGAAAGGATAAAATCACAAAATGTAAGGAAATACATATTAAATTATAGTATGTACAATTGCTTATTAAGTTTTATTAGATATACATATGTCAAAGGTAATGACCAACTAAAAAGACAGATTAAGAAAATTATTTTCATAATTCATTAGGACTGTAATTAAGACTCCATTGAGACAATTAGCTGGTTATACCAGGTTTAACTGTATAAAAATATAGTAAAACAGCCAGGTCGGTCTATTATGAAGATAATAATTCAGATCATCATCATATACAGACATATTTAAGAAAAACTTCTTTACTCATGATTAGCTGACACTTGAAACAATCACAAAACATAACGAATGAATAACAGTTCCATGTTCCTCAATATAAGGATGGCAAAGAATTTTGCAGAACATCCCTTAATACAAAGTTCTTTTAGGTCAAATACCAGAAAGGCAAAGCCATGGCTATAGGAGAGAATCATCTGGAAGACTTAAAAACACAACTTCACTATCCCTAAGTAATTTCCCCCCAAATAACAAGCAAACACCCACACATACATCAGCAAAACAAGACATAAAACATGGATGTCCACATCGCACTCTGAGGAATGAGCTGAAGTAGCACGTTAGCATAGAGCCTTAATAATGATTTTTAACATGCCTTGGGCAGATTCTACTCCGCAGTCAGGGCTGTGATCCACTGGAGTATCAATTAACAGTGTATTACATGTCTAAAGAATGGACCTATGAAAGACAATAGAGACATTGAGAGGCCCACAGATGTACAAAGATACCTAATATGGCAGTATTCATATGGCTTGGAAGAGCATCCGGTCCTAAGGCCAAAACATCCCTTGAAGATGCACACTGACAAAAATCCATGTAACACACACACACACACACACACACACACACACACACACACACAAAGAATTCCAGGCTATTAGTACTTGATGACATCAACCATGAGAACTTTGTGCTAATTCCAGGCTTAATGTGAAATTTCCTAACAAGTAAATATTATTTATAATTTTTCCCTAATCTCAAAATTGCCTATTGTTATTCTCTAGTTTGATCATTCATTCTGTGAGTGTATTAATGACTCTTTTTTCTTTGTCTATTTTGGGTGCTTTGAGTAAGATAAAATTTTCAATCTACATAGTTGAAAAGAAAATACAAAACAGAGTCCTGACACCATGGGCTACCTTGTATGATATTCTTTAATCTGGCCTGCTAAACTTTCAGTTCAAAATCTCAATGCTAATGACTGAAATCACAACAGATACTAGCATAGGTTGGGGGAATGGATGGATATGTATTCCTATAGGTCTCTACAGAACAAAGGAGGAGGGGGGTATATGATATCAGTAATAGGGCTACATTTTCTCCCATTATCAAAAGGTTTTGTTTTCTCAATGGTGAGATCGAGAAGGTTGTAGGAAATTAAGATCATTTATAAAGAAAAAAATTTGTTATGTGCTTATGACTAGAAGAATGAAAGATCCTACCCCTATCCTTGAGAAGCTTCCAAATCTGGGGAATGAAGAAAGAGGTCACAAATAATGACTGAGAAACAAAGTACTAATGTGTTACATGCTATGTTGCAATAATGACTTAAAATCTGCCTTTTTATACACCACAAAAATGACTTCTCATCTAAAATCTGTATTCTTACCGTTTTCATAAATGTAATATATGGCCGAACTAACGAAGCCAATACATATGAGTCCAAGGTAACAATATTTTAATTCTAAATAATCAGTTTAACACTGACCTTTAAAATAAAAGTTGCCAGTGAAGAAAATACATCCTCAGGAAAATGAACAGAACTTCTGGATTATGCTCAACATCATTACCAAAATAACTACTAGGTAAAGAGACATGCCATTTCAAGTTTTTAATAAACTATTTTGTTTCCTCCCACAGAGAAACTGACAATATATGTCCTTAATACTTTTACCCATAATGTGTAATCTATTTATATTAAAATTGTATTTTAAAATGGTTAAATAAGTCAGTCATCTCTTGTGACTGACTCACAAAACAGAAAAAAGAAAAACTACCCAAAAACACATATATTTCATTTTATTTTTTATGTAAACATATTATTTTTTAAAAAGTAAGTCAACACACTAGCCAAGGAAAAAAGCACTGCTTTAAAATAATTACATTTTTAACTTCCTTTTCAATTTATCACTAGTAAGTTGTATGTCATATAACAAGTACTTACCTCAGACATAGGAGTTCCCCAGAAATCATTCTGAAATAAAGTTTGTAAAGGTGTAGATGGATGCAGATCTTTATTATCCAGTATTGCTGAAACATCATCAAAAACAAAACCACAGAACAGGCTGTTCCAGTAGCAGGCAGTAACCACGCCTACTATTAAGGTTACTTCTTTAAAGTTAATATCAGCCATCTTTTCTTTAAGTACTTATGGACATAAACTAGGGAGAAAAAGAACATGAATAAACATTTTTCTCAGGTAAGTACAATTTTAACGGATAATTAAAATAAAGGATGCATGTTAACACTTTCATACAAAAGCTCAGCCCAATGACTCCATCTCTAAGGAGCAATGACTAGTAACTTCTCCATATTCCCAACTGTCTTAATTAATTGTTCCTTCAAATGTGTTTTCATACCCTTGTTACAGTCCTTGAACATACTGCTTAATCTCTGGACCTGTAACTTTAGCTAACAAGATAGTGAACTGCTGATCAACTGTCAGAGGTCAGGCTACCTGGCAAGCAGACATACAATGTTTTGGAAAACAAATACTATATATATATATATATATATATATAAGCTATATTAACCTACTACATTTATGATAATTTGTTATAGTAGCAACAAGAAACTAACATGTACTTGTGGCGTTATGGCCAGATCAAAGACGACGAGTATGAAATAAAACAAAAATTCTGTTCAGTAGTAAAAAGTCCTACCTGTGTAGGGAGAGTAGGTGCAGATTTAAAAACCAAAGGTAAAATTTATGTAAGGATGTATATTATATGAGGAAAAGTATTGTCATAAGAAGACAGAAGAGCACAGAATGTATTAGACATTTAAAAACTGTAAAACTCCTTTAAAAAAAAACAGGAATGAAATCAGCTGTACCCTCCAGAAATAGAGTTCTCAACTGAAAGAAAAATTATGTAAGGGCTCATCTCAAATCCAAACTCATTATTACCATGGAAAGGTATAGGCTTACACCTTCTTCCTAATACCAAATGGGGGCATACACTGATGGTGCCTGCTTAAAGAATGGAGAGTGAACAAATATTTGCCTCAGTTCTTGTCCAGCCCCACACTATAATGACAGTGAAAGTATTTTAGCGAAGGAAGGGCATAAATGTGTAAGGATAAAGACAACTGCAGGGCAGAACATAGTAAATTTTGGAAGATGGACAAATTACAGGATTAATAAGGGACTCAAAGAAGACCAGAAAAGAGAATCTTAATCTGAGAGACGAAAGCTGATCGACTGCTTTCTGATCCACTGCTTACTTTGACTCGTAGTATTGCTGCTAGAAGCAATCTCAAAACTGGTTACAAGGATCTTAGACAATAGGGCTAGGAGGAGTTGAATTTGTTAAAAGTTTACACTTCTCTCTTATGGGACACAGCTAAATAATCATTACTTCTACATCAATCCAGAAGCCGGACAATTTTTTCTCTGGAGTAATTAAGACAAAGGATATCTGATACATGTTACACAAATGAAAACAAAGGAAGCATAAAATTAAAAACAAAAGGTGGACATAGTGGGGCATGCCTATAATCATAGATACTAGGAAGCCTGAGGCAGAAAGATCTCAAGTTTGCGATTAGCCTGGGCAACCAAATGGGACCCAATCTATGTAGCTCAGTACTACAGCACTTCTTTAGCACCAGTAAGAACCTAGATTCAATCGCCAGTAACTGCAAAAAAAAAAAAAAAGAGTCAACTAAAACTCTATGTTTTGAACCTCCTGCTCTCCTCAACTAGGGATAGGATGCTATAAAATTTTACAAGTGAAACAAATAGAGGATTCTAAAAAAAATTAGGATTTAAAACAAATTATTATTATTTTTTAACCAACACTATGTAGCATGGGGAAAACATCCAAAGAAAGTAATGCTTCAAATTCCTGGGGAAGAGTGATTTCCAACTCAAAGTTTTATATTCATAAGTCCAAATTTTTCCCAAGTAGGAAAGTAGAATAAAAATATTTTAAGTCATTCAGGGCTTTAAATATTTACTTCCAGTGTCTTTAGGAAAGTAAGAATAGAGAGTTTCCAGTGAAATGACAAGAGTAGACTAAAAAACAGAAGGACAGGAAAATTGGGGAATAGGATCCAGCATAAGACAGCAACAAAAGAAATCCAGAATGTCAACCATGCAAGCAGGGCTGCCAACCACTCCACTGGAGGTCAAAAAGGTCTGATGGTCCCAAGAAGGTATGATCACTAGAATTATCTGCTGTATTTAAACACACTGAGATGAATTAGTATACTCTCAAATTATATGCCTATACATACACAGACATAAATATGTATATATGCATATAAGAAGTTGTAATCTAGAAAAACAAAAACACCTCATCATTGCGCTGATAAAAATCACATTATGTATATAGGCCAGACATCTCTTTCCCATAAAATAACCTCAGATTCCTAACCTAGTAATATCAGTTCACCTGGGTGACAAACTTCTGACACACAATCGGAAGTTTTATAATTAGCAAAAGAAAAAAAAGTGAATTAAACCTTTGCTTTAATGTATTAAAGGTATGCCTGGGAATAACACACACACACACATACATACACACACACACACACACACACACACACACGACTTTCCGAGTATTTGCAACATTTACAGATCTCAATATACTAGAGATGGATATACTAGTTTCATAAATGTAATTAAAAATATATAATAATGGGTAATACATAACAAATTGACTATGACATTTCTGGATTTAGGAGTTTTAGCTGAAAAGTATAAGAATTTACCTAGGTTTATAAACAGCACCGGAGTGTTTATGAGAACTTAGGAGTTGTTATAGTTTTAAGTTTAAGTTTCCTAGCTTTTTATCTAGATGCCTTCACATCGGAGAGGTGATTGGATCATGGGGGCATGATAATTATCAGTATGTTAGTCCACTGATGACGCTGATGACTTTATGGCTGACTTGCTGTTAGGAGGTTGGATTTGGTTCAGAGAGGTGGGTCACTGGGGGTATGGCCTGGGTATGAATTTAGTTCAATTCCTAGTAACTGTAAAAAAAAAAAAAAGAGGGAACATTAATATAAAAAGAGGGATATTCATGGGGCTTCTCCAACTGGGCACAGATACTATAAAATTTTACAACACTAGAAACAGGATTCTAAAAAAAAAAAAGAAATGGAATCATTTTTCCCCACCACTAGAGTTTTTTTTACACCTCCTGTTCCTTTCTTCACTCTGTCTCTCTCTGCTCCCCTGCCGCTATGCCATGAGCAGCTCTTCCCCACCATGGCTCTCTGCCATGCCATCCTGTGTTGCAGCTAGCCCAATATGGATTGAAACCTCTACAAACTGTGAGCTGAAATAAACCTGTCCTCCTTTAAGATGTGATTATTGGGTATTTTGTTCCAGCAATAAAGAAAGTAACTAATACATTCTGTAAAAGTTACTGAAGTACTACCACGTACTACATAATGTTTTGATCAATGTCAAAGGACATATAGGATAGGGATCCCATAAAATTATACCATCTACTGATGTAGCCACTATAGTTTGCATAAATATACCCTATGATGTTCATTCAACAAGGAAACAGCCTGAAGATTCATATCTCAGAATACAGTCCCAACATTGTAATGTATGATTATATTGAGACAGTTTGTCTTAAACTAGGTATACAAAGTATTTGAAAAAAAAATATGTTGTAATGATAAATGCAGTTTCAATTTAGGGCAGTTTAATCAAGTTTTATATATGCAGCTGGTTAGGGGAGTTTAGTTCTTGCAACTTCAGTTATCTGTTATTTAAAAATGACATATTACTTTATAAACAGGATGAGAGTTTTAGGCTTAAAGAATCTAGGTTATGAAATATTGGCTTAATAAATTTAGATGGATCCCATGATTTTGAAATAGCTAGGTAATAAAACTTTTAGTCATTTAATTTGTAAAAATTTCTTTTTTTTTTTTTTTTTTTTTTTTTTTTTTGGTTTTTCTCCAGTACCGGGAACTGAACTCACGACCTTGCACTTGCCAGGCAGGCGCTTTGCCGCTGAGCTAAATCCTCAGCCCTGTAAAAATTTCATTCAATAACTGAAATGCTCAATTCTAATGTAAAGACGACCAAGGATTGACACCTTAAATTCCCTTTGTCTGTATTTCACCTTCCTTCATCAAAAGATACTTACTGTCTTCTGGGGAAACTGTTGATATCCAGCTGTCCTTTGGTGTGAGGTTTTTTTGTAATCATCAAGTCTTTTTCTAATCTTTGCTCCCACAAGTGACATTTTTGGGCAGAACTTCAGGTAACTCTACAACCGAGTTCTTGAGCATGCCTTTAGAATGAGCACTCTTTCATATTAAGCTCTTGTGGGAAATCTTTAAAAAGGTCTTTATTTTGCCCCTTTGCAAACCATTTAAATGAGGAACTTTGCAAGTATCAAGTTGGCTTAATCAATGAGGTGAAAATATTCGTTGCCTTACAGCACAGGAAGACACTTAATATGCATGATGACCATCGTGATAGTTAACTTTAAAAGTTAACCTGCCTAGAGTACACTGTAGTATTCAATTAATATTAATATAGATGAACTATCATCAACTTTAAAGGGATCATGTTCAATAATGTGGATGGTCCTCATCCAGTCATTTCAATCACATTAAGAGCAAAACTGAAGTTTCCCTGAAAAGAAGAAATTCTGCCTCAGGACTTCAGCATCAGGTCTTCCTAAACAGTTTCCAGCCTGGCAATCTGATTTGATCTTACTATCTTTATAATCTTTTAAGATAATTCTTTGGTATAAACATCCTTTTTGATACAGATACATGTTCTGTTGGTTGCGCCTGTCATCTCTCATGTACTTACAATTATTTTGTAGCTTGATTAGAGCTGGGTATTTACAGAGGAGAAGTATTAGCTTCGAAACCCAGTCTCTGGTACTCAAAGGCACATCTAGGTTAGTCTGGGCTTCTTTACATGGTGAAACAAAGGGGCAAGACCCAATTAACAAGCCCTTTACTATCTGTAACCGTTTATTTTTTTATTTTTTTAAATTATCAAGCAGTGTGATAAAGCATCCAGAAGCAATGTGGGAAGGATTATATAGAAAGACAGCGTAACAGAATTTTAAAAGATTTCCTAAGGGACTGTAATAGGAGAGACAGGGAGAGAGCCAGTCTTAGCACGAGTTATAAAAGCTGTGGAGCCATCTTAGGCTCTGCTCAAGAATCACCTGCAAGGTACATGGGGAGAAGGAAAGGAGCTACACAGGGTATTGATAAAGCGACACATGATTCACTGAGGGTTACAATTATTGTAGCAATGTAGAGGCCACTGTTGTTAGTTTTAAAAACTTTTAATTTTTTTCTAGGCACACAAGTACTCTCACAGACCTATACAGTCCAAGTAGATAGAATGACTCATATTTGCTAACAAAAATGTCTACAAAATTCAAATGCAACTGAAGACCACTCATCAGGTACATCACAAAGACATAAAATACAATTCCTTCGAATACAAATGTATTGATTAATTTTTGTAACAATCTAACAATGTAAGTGCAGAAAAGGTAAACCCTTGGAAAAATTTTGTATGAATTTGGAAATAGCCTAGGAAGTCCTTCCAGTACAATTCCCTCAGAAATTTTCATTATGATTATAGCCTCTGAGTTTTCATATGATTATATCAAATTTTACTGTTTTAAAGTATGTGATAGATCTTTTGCAAATGGAAAGGGAGGAGGAAAAGGGAAGAGTAGGGAAGGAGAACCAAAAAGAATTCAGATTTGTTATACACATGTACCAACTCCCCACAACGACTCATTGGGTACTGTGAGTATGTACAAATACAAATAAAGACCATCGAAAAAAATAAAACAAAACGAAGCATAAAAAAGTTTGTAAAACTGAGGCCACCAGTTTGCAAAGTCTGTATTCACCTTGACTCCTACTAATTTTTCTAGTCTCTTCACGTTGAAGGAAGACAAGTATCTGCTTGTTGCATACTCATTTCTCTCCCTGAAAGCAAGGCTAAACAAAACCTGTACTAGTCAGAGTAGATTCTAAATTACTTATGGTCAGGCTTTACTTTAGAGACTGGAAAACTAAGCTACCATTCATTTACTTGATAAGCCAGAGAAAAAGAAGTATCATCTAAGGAATATAAACTGGTACAGACAACAGAGATAGTAATTATAAAAGCTAAGGCTATCTGATGAGATGATTTTAGTTAGGTAAAATTGTTCATAGAATGGTAAGAAATAAGGCAAGTCCAGGAAAGTTCTCCTTAACAAGGATATTTATGAAATTATCACAAATTCATCCCTTAATGAAAATTGGCTGATGCAGAAAATCTCACACCAAACAATGGAGTTATTTTCCTCAAAATTAGATCATGAATTAATGAACCAGGACTTTGAGTTAAATTTCCTGATTCACAGTCACTGATGACAAAGTATAAAGAGCTAGACGATGGCTAACTTATTTTCTACTATATCCCTGTTGTCTACCACAGTGTATGGGCTCAATAACATTGTTAGGATGAGTTAAAGAATAAAATTTAAGCAATTCTTGTTTTGAGTCAGGACTGCATCAGTTATTGGGAAATTAACTTCTCTGCATTTATTCTCATTAGAAAAAATGAGAATAAAATATCATTAGACCAGTCTTGGATTTCTAAGAATATAAACACGAACAAGAAAGTGAGACAACTAGGGGTAGAAAAATTCAACACAAACAAAACTAAGTAAAAACAAAATAAATGAAACCACGAGAAGAAAAACAAAATGTCACCGTTAAGAAACCCTAAACTTCTAATACGAAACATGCAGCAGTAAAATAGTATTGTATATGACATACTGTATATGTCATTGTACACAACATATGTGCTCAAGAAATACTAAATTTCATCTTTGCCATTCTCTGCTAAGTTATAAACTAATACTGATGGTGAAAAATATTTAATTGAAAATCCTGAAAAGGGGTTGGGGATATAGATCAGTGGCATAAGCGCCTGCCTGGCAAGCGCAAGGTCCTGAGTTCTATCCCCGGTACCGCAAAAAACAAAACAACAACAACAACAAAAAGAAAATCTTGAATAAACAAAGTTATAAAATTTGAATTTGAAAATATTTAATAAAGCAGACAGACTAAAAAGCAAGTCCTTCACTGATCCTGGTTTCCTGAAAGTCTGAGGAAGCCTGAGGAGGCAGCACAGCAGACCTCCAGCCAGAAAGCTCTCCCCAACTTCGAAGGGAAAGGAAGACAACGTCAACACCCCCCTTACCGGCTTGCTGTGAAGAATAAACGAGATAATGAACATGCTGACACATAATCTTCCAGAAAAGGAATAAACACAATAATCGTTCCTAAAATCTTAGAATTCATCTCACAAAATCGGTAAGTTTTTCTACTGAGCTGTTTGTTCTACCTAAAACCGTAGTTTAAAAAAGTATTTCCAAAAGGAAAACTTACTGTCAATTTGCATTAAAAAAATTAAAATAAGAGCCAGTGGTCCAGTAGTTGGAAATGTCATTTCGATTTTAAACCTACAGCATCTTCAGGAAGTTACTCAGTGGTGTATAGTGGTCCGGGACGGCTGCGAGAAGCCAGCGGAGCGACAGTCGCCCGGGGGAAGGGCGGCAGAGCCCCGGGAGGCGTTCTCGTCTCGGGGAAGGTCGGGAACCGAGGAGGTGGCAGCGGCGGCACTGCTCAGTCCCACGCGCCCCTCTCCACGGCGCCCCGCGCCCGCCCCGCAGCCCGCCCGCAAAGGGCCCTGCGGGGCGATGGTGCGGGGCGGCTCCTCTGGATCCAGCCGTCGCCCCTAAAGCACGACCTCGGCCGAGACCCCAAGCCTGGCGCCGAGAGCAACGCGGACGCAAACTTTCCCCGCCCGGCTCGCGCGAGGAGCCCGCGGAGAAGCTGCGGCCCCGCCGCTCCAGCCCCGGCCCGGCCCTCGGTCCCCAGCGGCCCCGGCGCCGGACCTCCGCGAAGCCGCGCCTCCGCCCCGCGGGTCCTCCCAGCCCGCACCGACACCCCGACCTCACCTGGGATCGGACCCACCAGCGGTTGGCTTAGGAACACCGCAGGAAGGGCGGCCGAGCAAGCGACACCTCCGGAGCCACACTCATGTTCTAGCTCGCCCAAGCCGCCAGCACAGGCGCGCCTCGGCCACTGCGCCTCGCGCCTCTCCGTCCGTCCCCAGCCTCTCCCACCCAGGCGCAGGCTCCCGCACTGCACGCCGGGAACGCCCTCCCGCCTCTCCTCGGGGACTTCAGTTCCCAGCATGCACAGCCGCAGGACAGAGTTGCACCCTGGGAGTTTGAGTCCTCGCCGCACGCCTTTTTCTCGTTTTTAATTCCGAGTCCGGAACGCCGCGAAGGGGATTGTAATCGTAAAGCAGCACCTATGGTCGTGAAATAGAGCCTTTCCTGGCATCCGGGGCCTCGTTCTGGCTTTGGCTGGGTGGGGGAATGGTGTCGCCTAGCAGCCGCCGGCGCCGCTTTTCATCGCTCGTGGCTTGGCGGGACGCAGAATCGGCGTGGAACCGCGCTGGGCTGCGGTCAGGACGGCAGCCGGGCGCAACGCGGTGGTTGCGGTAGAGGTGGGACAGCCCCGGTTGCCAGGCGTGGTCTAGGTGGGTGGATCCTTGTTAGCCCGAGCGGCGAGTCCTTGCTCCCGCAGGTGCTTTATCCCGGAGAGTCTCAGGGCCCCGACGCAGCGGCCCTGCCTTCCCGCCGCTTCAGACCCCTGGATCGCAGTCCTCCTCGTTGTTGCTGCGGCCCTGGTTTCCTCCGCAAAGCATTCTTCATTTCCGTCATTTACTTGCACACTTCAAAAACAAAAACATAAGCAGTTCCTGTTTCTGAGAATCGGGTCGTTCCCAGTCATCCAGATTCGCCCTGTGCTTGGCGCTATCAAGTGTTTGCGCGCGGATTCAGAAGCTTAGTTTTGTGCCGTATAAATTTTAGCAAACAAGTCTCCCTATTTTATTTAGCTGGTACAGTGTGATGTTTGTGCTGTGTGCTATAATTTTGATCAAGACTGTTTTACCCATGTTTCTTCCTTGCGCTTAAGGAACCAAAGCGCTTTGCTAACATCTTAGAAAGTTATGATACTGTAAACACAATAGTATTTATCTTCAGAATGCTGATACCCCCCTGTTTTGTTACAGGCGGTGGAGCACAGTAAGAGGATTCAAGATGCCACCCAATATAAACTTGAAAGAACTAATCAAAGTTGACCCAGATGAACTCCCTCGCCAGGAAGAACTGGCAGAGAATTTATTGATTTCCTTATCCAAGGTACTTGGTTGATAAAATATATATGTGTATTTGCAAGTCTGATCTAGTTATCTCATTTGAAAAACACTACTGTAATAGTTCTTACATTTAGCTTAAAGATAGTTGCTTTTTTGTTTACTTAGGTGGAAGTAAAAGACCTACAAAATGAAAATCAAAAAAATATGATACATCTTTTCAGGATTACTCAATCATTAATGAAGGTTTGTATGCGGTAGATTTTAATAGTAAATTGGACTCTTAGAGGAAATTTAAGAAGGTGATTTTATGTAAGGTACTTGGTAATATCTAGATTACCAGTCGAGGTAACTTCCCATGTGGATTTGGAATTGTAGTGTGCAAAACATAAGTAGTTTCTACTCTAAAATTCCTAAAAGAAATGTGTAAGGAAAATACAATAGTTATGTTTAAACTATGGCTGCTGTAAAGATTCCATGATAGAGGAAGGGGACGTGATTGAAGCGAAGTGGGAAGTTTCCATAAACAAAGAAGATCGAATATAGTAGTTTTAGATTAAGTGCAAGGCACTGGTAAGATGCTAAAAGGATTTTCTAGGATGAGTGGTTATCATAAATGTGAGGAATAGGAATATTAGGATTTATTCTTTGCATTTGAACAAGTGCAAAAATTTTATAGCAGGTTGTAGGTTAAAAAACATGTTGAAATAGTAGTTTGAAATAGGCCATCAAGGACCTTAAAGTTGTATTTTATGCTCTCCACAACTGAGAAGCAAGTCATAGTTTTTGAACTGTAGTTCACATACACAAAAATATGCCTTAGCAAGGCAAAACTGGGTATGTTAGCTAAGACAAATTGAAGGGAATTGCAGCTAATTAGACATAACATTGTGAAGAAGTTGAGACATAAATTTATGGACTAGAATATTAACAGTGGGAATAGAAAAAAGAAGTACTGTAGTAAAGATATTACAAAGAGAAGTAGTAGTAATGCTGGATTTAAGATTTGAGGGAAAAAGAAGAATCAAAGTCTTTCAGACTGTTGCATACCTAGAAATTATGGCCTCAAGTAAGAAAATCATTTATTCATTCAGTAAGTAATTACCAAATATTTCCTTGTGACACCATTGCTGTTAAGATTGGCATAGCAAGTAAAATAGAATTTTTATTTTTAGTGCTCCTATAAAAGCATAAAGATACATAAATACAACTTTTTTCTGTTTAGATGAAAGCTCAAGAAGTAGAGCTAGCTCTGGAAGAAGTTGAAAAAGCAGGAGAAGAACAAGCAAAATTTGGTAGGTGCCTTGAAAAAAGTTTACTGGGATGTTAACAAATTCCATTTATCATTAAACAATAGAAAATTACATTTAACCTAGTCTATAAAATGTGTGTATTCAATTTGTTTTGAAAGACATTTCTAGAACTCCTATTTCACGGATCTGGTATGTAATGATCTTTTCTTTTGTGTTATCTTAGTGTTAGAATCATGATAGAATCTTAAAGAATTAATTTTGATGTTTTATTGAAATTCATTTTGATCTTTTGAGGCAGATCTAACCAATTGAAATATTTGGCTTTTTTAAAAATAGAAAATCAACTAAAAACGAAAGTAATGAAACTAGAAAATGAACTGGAGGTATGTGCTTTTGTATTTGTCTCATTATTTGGAATTATTTTTAACTTTAGTTATTGTCTGGGAAAATCACAAGGATGATGTTGTGCTCCTAGTTATTTGTTCAGTGTGCTTATTATGTGCTTTGGATTCTACTAAGGATTAAGTATTTCAGTTGCAAACAAAATAAAACCTTAACAGTTAGACAGATAAGTCTGGAGAAGTGTATTGAAGACTTACTAAGAGTTGAGATCACAAAGCCAAGGGCTAAAATATGAATGTATTTTCAAGGCACTAAATGCATGAGATTCCTGATAAGATAGGAAGGAATGTAATACATAGGGATTAGCCTTTGGATGTAGGAAGACTCTCTTCCTTTGTAATAGGACAGAAGTAAAAGTGAATGTGTACAGAGAGTTTTATATCTTGGGTTTAGTGTTTGCTAGTTGTAAGATTGAAGATGAGATCATTTGATGAAAATAAAGAGTAGATGTTATGGTTGAAGTCTGAGGATTTCAGGTAAAGTTTGAAATGTGGTGAAGAATGGACTGGAGCATTGTGGGTCTAGCGTCAGATGGATTTGAGCTCCAGTCCTGATTCTTTTTAAACTTGGATGAAATAGTTCTTATTTTCTGCTAATTCCCAACTCCTGGGAAAATTTCAAACACTTTCAGTGAACATTTATGTGATAAATGGCTTATGAAGTTGGATTGATTCTTTGTAAGTCTTTCATCAGGCAGCTGCTATAGAGTAGAAAGGTAGGACAGTTGCATGTCTTGGTAGGAAAGTGTCTGAAGTGATGATGAAGAAAGCTGAATAGGTAAAGGAATCAAGACTTGTGTTCTGCTTGAGTGGTTGTACCAAAGTCTGAGTGATTTTCAGTCAATTGTTTCTAGCTCTCAGTGGTTCTGGAAAGCTAAAAGTGTGTCAACCTGTGTGCTAAAACTTATATGTTAGATATTTTTTTTAAAAAAGTAGTCCTTAAGCTTATGTAATTTTAAACATTTGGTGCTGAAGCATAACAAAAATTTAAAATCAAGACAATTACTTGCTCATTGATTCTGTGTAACCTTCCAATATAATGAAACTAATTTATGCTTTGGTTTTTTTGTTTTAAGATGGCTCAGCAGTCTGCAGGTGGACGGGACACTCGGTTTTTACGTGATGAAATTCGCCAACTTGAAAAGCAATTGGAACAAAAAGACAGAGAATTGGAAGACATTGAAAAGGAATTGGATAAAGAGAAGAAAGTTAATGAACAAGTAAGGCACGTTTTCTTCAGTGAATCTTCCCTGTTCAAGTCAAGATGTCTTTGTGGAACATATTCGTTGCTAACAATGTCAGTTTTATGCTATATGTTGAGTGATGATCTGCATTTGACTCTAAGATTTTATATTATTTTATTACTGTTCATTTTGTCATCTTACTTTATTTTAACGTTTTTGGTACTGGAAATGGACTCAGAACCTTGTGCTTGCCAAGCAGGTGCTATGCTGCTGAGCTACATCCCTGGCCCTCATTAAGATAAAGTGCATTAAAAAAAAAAAGGAATACCGGAGAAAAACAAACAAACAAAAAAAGATAAAGTGCATTAGCACTTCTAGTGAATGTAATTTAATCCTTTATATTTGGATGCATATTTTACTGAGAACATTAGAATACATACACAAAATTGATACTTTGATCTTGAATATTGGTATGAAGAAATTAATAGGCATTCATACTCTCCTAGTTGATTCTGGGTAAAAAGTTATATGTGGTTGTATTAATGTATTTCCATGCCGGGTAGATTTGGCAAAGTGAGATGTAGAACCTGTATAGCTTTCCAGCTTCTAAGGGATTGAATGTGGGTGGAGGTTGCTTGGGCAGTTTCTTCTTTGCCTTTATCAGTCAGTTTTATTGTATATTTAAAGAATACCATATTTATTGTATATTTTAATACATTTTATATAATTTCGTACATTTTATATAAATATCATATATTTATTGTATATTTAAAGCACACGAAAGAGACTCTGCTAGTTACTCGAGATGCAGTAACTATTTTCTGATTCTCAAGGCTATTCATAATCAGTAATAAGCATAACATAGAAATAGTATGGTACACCGGGGGGAGCATATATCAAGGGCTTATCAAGCCCTCAACCTGTTAAACAAGTGGACAGTGAGTGACATAAGTAAAAGAGACAAGTGGTAGGATTTTAGGGCTCCAGGAAGATCAAAACCCTCAAATGGAATTTGAGATTCCCTAGGGTTCAAGACAGAGAACTTTCTGAGTGGCCCATATTTATTTGGTTTTTAAACAAAAGAAGGGGATACTGAGGCAAGTGCAGGAATTGAGCAGGACCTTGGGGGTCAGTTCAAAGACTTCTCCAAGTAGTGC